ACCTGTTTGAACTCGTTATCTGTATAAAAGATAGCCCAAATGTAGCCCAAAACAATATTTCAACCACTGATAATCTCCCTCGATCTGGGGCTCCACGCAAGATCTCATCCCGTGGGGTCAAAATGATCATGAGAACAGTGATCAAAAGTCCCAGAACCACACGGGGGGACCTGGTGAATGACCTGCAGAGAGATGGGACCAAAGTAACAAAGGTTACCATCAGTAACACACTACGACGACAGGGAATCAAATCCTGCAGTGCCAGACGTGTCCCCCTGCTGAAGCCAGTGTTGTTTGCCAGAGAGCACATGGATGATACAGCAGAGGATTGGGAGAATTTCATGTGGTCAGATGAAACCAAAGTAGAACTGTTTGGTATAAACTCAACTCGTCATGTTTGGAGGAAGAAGAATACTGAGTTGCATCCCAAGAACACCATACCTACTGTGAAGCACGGGGGTGGTAACGTCATGCTATGGGGCTGTTTTTCTGCTAAGGGGAAAGAATGAATGAAGAAGAGGAATGAATGGGGCCATGTATTGTGAGATTTTGAGCCAAAACCTCCTTCCATTGAGTTGAATTTCTGTTATGGACCAAATACTTTTTTTCTACCATAATTTACAAATAAATTCTTTAAAAATCCTACAATGTGAATTCCTGGATTTTTTTTTCACATTCTGTCTTTCACAGTTGAAGTGTACCTATGATGAAAATTACAGACCAGTGTCATTTTAAGTGGGAGAACTTGCACAATTGGTGGCTGACTAAATACTCTTTTTTGCCCCACTGTACATTTTGAATTGCATGCATAGACATATATTTGTGTGTGATCCATCTGATTTCATAAGTGACTGATTTGTGCACCATTTTCTGTTTGTCTTGTAGTTAATCAACGCTTCAATATTGCTCCTTATATTAATACTAACACAAATACTGCTTGGAGTAATAATGTTAAAATGGTCACTGTTTAAAGATGGTTGATCGCAGCTGTCTGGTTGAGGTGCAGGGAGATTGATTACTTGCATGTTTCTCCTTCTAATTTTGCTACTTGAAAGCTTCTCTATGAGAGGGCACTGCCGCTTATTTAATTTGGCGTCCTCGTGTTTGCAAAGCTCGGCTTCTGCCACTGAACAGTAGCCAAAACATGAGTGACATACTGTTTTAAGTCTTTTCTGTCTTTTTTTTTAATGCTGCAGCTGTGGCAGTATAAAATGGAACTCAAGCCTCTATGGCTCCGTTAAATGACAATGTATAGAAACTAAAAATGGAGCAACTTAAACTGAGGAGATTACAGTGCTGCCATTTTGGAAACTCTTGGATCCTTCAGGGAGGGTCCATGGATGTAAAGTTGATTGTGTTTAAAGCTACTTACATTTAAAAGTTGTAAAAAAAAAAAAAATGCAAACATTGTTGCCATGTGACGAAATAAAACAATTACGATAAAATAATCTGCTTCATGTTGTACTTTATAGAATCATACGTGCAGATTCCCCTGCCGCTCCCTCCACTGCTTCTCCTCTTCTGATGCTCTAATTAAATATCTGTGGAAAGACTAAAAAACTGCTGCTCACAAACACTGACAAAGGACAACTTCATGATGTGCAACTCGTAGAGTTGTACCCCAAAAGACCCACCAAAGGGGGTTCCATAGTATTAACTTATCTTGTGCAAAGCCCCACTTTTAATCATGACTTAATTTAACTTTCACTTCACACTTGTGAAAAATCTTTACAATTATGGTCCTAAACAGGACCACATTTGCAAAGGTTCAAATTGTATTGGCATCTTCCATTAGAAAGACAAATGTACTCATTTCAAGTTAGACACCATGCTCAATCTTTTCTTACCTTACATTTTATCATTTTTTGGAGAGTAGTGCATCAATATGTTGACTCAAATTCTTCTCAGTCTAGTAGTTCTCCAGGAGAAAAACTTAGAGACCTTTAGTTAGAGATTCTTCTTTAAAAAGTATACATGTAAATGGCTATAAAGTCACCGCTTCTCTCATCTGATTACATTCAGAGTCAGTGGCCCACACAGCTGCTTTGAATTGTGCTCCACAAATAAACTTTTGTTGCCTTGCCTTACAATACATTTCAGTTAACAGGAAACAATACTAAAATTCTGTGTTTAGTTTGCCGTTCACAGAGCATTTCTATCCTCACATTTAGACTCTAAATTAAGATTTTCTCTACATACGTCTTGAACGTTTAGTGCAAATATGGTATTTGTTATTAATATTTGAGAACTGCTGTTCTATGTAATGATAAGTTATATATTTGTGTACATTTCTGTGTTTTGGCAGATTTATACCTGTGTGGGATCAGAAGCAATGAAGTGGTAAAGAAAATGAAGGGATAATTATGGTTAATGATGGATGCATGTGGTGTCTGTTCAAATTAAGGTTTCAGTCTGTACATTTACGAGGCAGACAAAATTACTTAAAGGATGACAGGTTGAGATGTAAAGGTATGGAATGTCTCCGAACCACGCTATACTTGTAATGTACCGGTGTAGCAGGCCAGTTTAACGCCCCGCCAGAATATACCCGGGTATAAAGTAGTCTAGGCCAGATTATACCCCGGGTATAAAATGTCCTAGGCCAGAATATACCCCCGGGTAAAAAACTGGCCTAGGCTAGTTTTCAGATTAACCCCCTCTTCATTTTATATAATAACAATAAAATACAAGTGATATTTTATTAATTTCTTTATTTTTTACAAAATACATTTAGAGAAAGGAGATGATTTATGAAATAAACTATAAAACAAAATGTTTACATTTATGCATAAATGTTTAAAATGTAAACGGTTGGTCCTGTGTCGCTAACGCACCCTTTGTTTTCATCACGACTCCGGCACATGTGAGTCCAACAACCCATGAAAAGCAATATAGCGCCGCACCGCAAAATGGAGTCGGGGTGCGTTCACAGACGGTGGAAACCAAGGGAATTTTTAGTTTTCAGCGGAAAAACTGCGGAGGAACTTTCTCTCGTGTTTCAAAAGAGAAAACAGATGTTACTCAGTTTTCAATGGAAAACAAATTCCAACATTCATTTACAGTGATGTCTGCCGTTCATGACACATAATGTGAACTAATTCACGTTCAAGTTCTTTATTAAAAAATGTCTAAAAAAATTAGCGTGTTCAATGAACGTGTTCTTTTGAACTCGTTCACGCACAACACTGAAAATTATCTACCAGTGATGGGCAGATGAAGCCCCGTAATACAGTGAGGCTGTATTGTGGCCGCGGGTCGTGCTTCCGTACATATGTCGGAGCCTCTGAGCTAGCTCAGACCTCTCAGACAAGTTTGTAACACTAACATCTTGTGGATAAATGTAATCATTGCAGCTTTTGAAAAGCTAGAGGACTGCACTCTATGCATAACCTTGCCTGCAAGCTGAATTCTCGCAGTATTTGGGAGTTCACAAACACTCGAGAATACATCTTGCCCCGCTCCCGCCAACCCTTTTCGAGTAGAACATCTAGGTGTTCAAGCCAATCACACGCCAGTCTGGGCGGGATATCCGGGTTTGAAAGCAAGAAGTGCTGGGCCGAAGCAAATCAAACATGGCTACGCAGGAGGACGGACGCGTAGCTGAGGCTATCAAGTCCGTTTTAGCAGAATCTCCAATTTCTTTTTTGAAAGATGAACAGCGAGAGGCGCATAAAGCAGTCATAAGCCAAATAAAACTAGTTTAATCCAGCGCAACTTATGATGGTTTCTCAGGGCGCACGCCGATGACGACATGATGTTACCGGGATTGGTTTAAGTCAAACCTTGGTAGGCGGGCACACAGCGTCACTTCGCCCAATCAGCTTGAAGTATTCTGCTGCTTATCCCTCCTTTCCCCGAAAGGATTCTCCTGCAGAAGTCCCAGATTGATATTGTGGAGAACGCATTAGAGTTCTACACAATCATCAATCTGGCTCTTGCCAGGTTACTCTATGCGTAGATCAACAATTGACGCATCATTCATCTATAGCTTTAGTGCTCATCCACTGAAAGCAGTCACACCAAAGAAGCGAGATGTCACGCTCTGAAACAATGAGAAGTCAGGAAACGCATTGAGCCAATTAAACACTTCCACACCGACAGTTATTATGCGCAGTGAAGCAGCGGCTGCAGAGTCCGAGACACTGACACGTTTGTTTTGTGACCGGTTATTTTGATACAAGCTCCAAAGCAACTGCTTCGAAAAGAGTGACACAAGCTCCGGAGCATCGGTGTCATTTGCCCATAACTATCTGCTCAAAAGTTCTAAGAGTTTCATGTTAGAAGTAAGTAGATACATTGACTCATCACCTCACAAACAACGTGTGAAAAGCAATCACACTAATTAGGGCGACAGAGTAATTAACAAACAAACTTCTACATGATTTAAAATAATCATGATGTTTTAAAAAAAATACATATATGTATATATTATTATTATTAGATAAAACAAGAGGGGGTTAATCTGGCCTAAAGAGGGTTAAAATAGCCTAGGCCAGAATATACCTGGGGTATATTCTGGCCTAGGCTATTTTATACCTGGGGTATAAAATGGCCTGTTACACAGGTAAAGCCTACAAATCTCATCTCAAATATTTCTGAGAAACCATTAGTAACCATTATATATTTCTGATCTGGATTCTTCTTCCTGATCTCTTGATGGGTGAACCAATGAGAATGTCGCTTCGAACGGACAGACCCCTCATTGGCTGCTCACTCTGAGCCCTAAAGCTGAGAATTGATAACATTTTGACTGTGCGTCTAGAATCGCAGGTTTATGCATAAAGAACAATATAAACAATTTATTTATAATTACATTTATATTTATCACCGTCCTGTTCTGGACCAGGGTCCTGTCTTGTTCTTGTGTTTTTGTGCCTGTCTCATTGTGACTGAAACTGAAATCCAACAATCATTCCTCTGCACCTGTCAACTGACTGTAACGAGACCTTATAGAATCTCGCTTGTCACGCATCTGTAGACGTAAAGTACACGTATATTACTCACGCCCTCAACCTCCCTCTCCTCTCATACCTCTCTACGCACACGCGCGCGCGCAGCTCCTGTCCGTGGGAGAAAGTGAAGAAGGGGAGAGGGAACGAGAGAGGAGGGAGAGAGTGTGATCCCAAGTCTCTCTCAGCGGCTCTCACCACTTTGGGTCCATGTACCCAGTCTGAGTCAATGGAGCTTTAGCAGTAAGGGGTACACGTTAAATAAAGATATTTATTCACCCCGAAGCCCTCTTTGTTTCGGTTCCTTGCGTTTCCACAGACACTGGTGACACATCAGGACAGTCCAGAGGTGTGCCACGGTCCGTACCTCGCAGAAGGTTCAGTCGGGTCCTCCTCATCGGCTGACTTTCTGTGAGCCGATAACTCTCCACCATTACAGCTTGAACCGACAAACTACTGCAACATTATGGATTTTAGAAATTGTCCCTTCCGGAAGAAACGGAGACCATGGTTTTTGGAGTTCTCATCTTTTGCCTTGGTAACCATGACCCTCTCTGTGCTCCAGCCGACCGTGGCTCGTGCAGGTAATGCTTCTCTCATCTTTCTTTTTACTCGTGATTACTACATAATCACGAATTTAAGTGTGTATATGTGTAAGGCTGGAATGTTACGAGTCCCCTTTTCTTCTCGTGAATGCTCTCTATTGTTGCGGCTTCTGTGCGTAAAGTTCAATCCAGTCTGCTGCACCTGACGCGCAACATTTTGTTCAGAAACGTCAGGACGCAGGGTCGAAGGGACCGATCAATCACCGATCAACTCTACTTGAAGTAGTAAAGTAGTGTATACCGTAGCAGAGTGGTCTAGCTTTAACTTGGGTTATTTTCTGTTGCTGATTCTTGGACATGTTTATTTATTTATTTTTATTTTTCAAAACTGAAAATTCCCAAGACAGATGATCTGTTTGGTGTTAGATCACTTATGAGCGGGGACCTTTAGCTCATGCTATCATTTCTATGTCCTAGTTTCAGAGCTCAGAGACTGTAAGGTGTATGGATGTTTACCAGCGCAGCCTGTGCACCTTCCACCGCTGCCCCTGGTGGTCCAAGGGGAGGACCCATTTTTTCCTGAAATACATTTTTGCAGTTTTAGCTTTTTTTCGGGTCCGATGGACGAGTTGCGCCCCCTATATTTCAAGTTTGAAACTTGGGCTGCACTTCTTTAATTGACCGCTAGAGACCGGTAAAATTTGAAACACTAATTGACCCAAGGCTAACTAACATAAAAACAGCAGTTTAAAGATAAAAAAGGTGTATTATTTTGACTCAAAGCAAATGTAGCTTCTGTTTGATGACTATTGAATAGTTTAAGTGTAGTTTTAGTTTTATTACATTACACATTTTTACACGATATCTGTTGTTTTTACTTTGAACTTTCATAGTTTCAAATATATCAGTGAACTCACCCTGCCACCTGTGTGGCATGAATTCCTCTGTTGTGGTGCAGCTCAGTGACTGAAAGCATTTAGTATCCCCATTGTCCATTGTACAGAGATGTTTTTATAGGGCCTATACAATATACTTTACTATAGTATATTGCATCCTATACAGTAGGAGAACTTTCTGCATTTTTAGCATGGATTGATTTAAACAAATAATCCTCTGTTTAGGTTTCTTGGTACTGTAAAGTAACAATGAATACATATCGACTATAACAATGTTTTTGACTTTTTGGCAACAATTTTTGGGCAAAATTAAACTCCTTTAAAGCCACCCTGCTTTGCATTTTACTCTAATTCCTTTGCCATTTGATTTGAAACAATATGTGATCACACATCACTAAGTGTGATTTGTATCCAGAATATTCACCATGGCGATATTGCAGTAGTTGATTAGTGATCATCTTAAAACCAAGAGGCCGCTTCATCCAAGCTTATGTGACTAATGGTGTACAGATATTTTTCAGGTGGTGAGAGAAAAAAGAAAAATAGCTGCGGCTTTGCAGCAAAATGAAAAAAGACAACATATGGTGCATGTATATAAGTAAATCTTCCCCATACATTCAATACAAATTCTTAGAATAAGGCATTCAGCTATTGCAGTTGCCATGAATGACTGGTTTGTGCAAAGGATGGGTGAAAATCCGAGAGCAATATTTTCTTGACATGGATGTTCCTCCAGCCTGTTTCAAAGTCGCCTGCTCCTCAAAAGGCAGTCTGTCTGAGTTTGGCTAAACATAACATAACCTCTCTGCCTCTGTCCTGTGAATGGGGCTTCTATACGAGCTGCAGAGCAGGTCTTTGACCACTCATTCCTGAGACTGTAAGAAAGTGTGTGGTATTTCAGGCTCCTTTCACACGTTCATTCTCCTTCTTTGTCTCCCGCTTATTTAACAGCCATCTATTGACCCAACAATATCCTAATAAACTGCAATTTATCCATAGTTACTTTGATTACCACCTTCAGATTCTAACACAGGCTGAATCTGTCCCGAGAATTCTATTTTTCCCTCTGTAAATGGGTGGAGCCTGTAATCTTCTATGTTTAATGTATTTGTTTTATAAATGTAAGTATGGTTTATCAATTCTAGAATCTGAGAATCTCATTCTCCTAATTTGAGATGAACATTTGTATAATTTGTAAATTTGTTTTCAGTAGATTTCTAATCACTTATTGTATTAAAAATGCCACAAATAAAAATGTTGTGGTCTGTCCGTAAGATATATGTTCCTGAAGCAAGTCTAGACTCAAACACCAAAAACTAGCATTTACGAAATACAAGTGTCTTGAAAGTGCAATTTTGACTTATGAAGTACAAGACCAAAGCTATCATCAAGTTGTAAGTTTGTGAAAACTTTTGAGACACGTCCATATGATCATTTCTGATTGAGGAAGCAGCCGGAGACTCTTCCTTGGTTATATAGGTGCTGATTTTGTGGGTTTGGTGTGCTGAGGGTTAGATGATGTTGCTCCAAGGCAATCTGTTCATACAAGTATGGTAACTGTGTCTGCCAGCTTTTTAATGACAGATGTTTGTAAAAAAGATGCTATTCCTAGTCTCTGCTGTTTGGTCCAAGGAAGTCAGTGCAGAAGGGCGTGGGGCCAGATGTGGCCGGTTAAATGGTTGTAATGTTTTAATGTTAAGAAAGTCTTGTGTGTTGACAGCAATACTTTGTATATTGTTCTGTTGTTCTGTTAGAACAGACCAACTGGTGCTTTGGCAGCCAAATCGGGTCCCTCAAAAACTCATTCCAAGACCCTTCATCCAAAGGCAAATCCCAGTACATATAGGCCAGAATATATACACTGTATAAGTATTCGGCCCCCTTGAACCTTTCAACATTTCGCCACATTTCAGGCTTCAAACATAAAGATATAAAAAATAATTTTTTTGTCAAGAATCAGCAACACAATCGTGGAACAAAATGTATTGGATAATTTAAACTTTTTTAACAAATAAAAAACTGAAAAGTGGGGCGTGCAATATTATTCGGCCCCCTTGGGCTAACACTTTGTAGCGCCACCTTTTGCTGCAATTACGGCTGCAAGTCACTTGGGGTTTGTCTCTATCAGTTTTGCACATCGAGAGACTGGAATTCTTTCCCATTCTTCCTTGCAAAACAGCTCGAGCTCAGTGAGGTTGGATGGAGAGCGTTTGTGAACAGCAGTCTTCAGCTCTTTCCACAGATTCTCGATTGGATTCAGGTCTGGACTTTGACTTGGCCATTCTAACACCTGGATACGTCTATTTGTGAACCATTCCATTGTAGATTTGGCTTTATGTTTTGGATCATTGTCCTGTTGGAAGATAAATCTCCGTCCCAGTCTCAGGTCTTTTGCAGACTCCAACAGGTTTTCTTCCAGAATGGTCCTGTATTTGGCTCCATCCATCTTCCCATCAATTTTAACCATCTTCCCTGTCCCTGCTGAAGAAAAGCAGGCCCAAATGCTGCCACCACCATGTTTGACAGTGGGGATGGTGCGTTCAGAGCTGTGTTGCTTCTACGCCAAACATATCGTTTTGCATTGTGGCCAAAAAGTTCGATTTTGGTTTCATCTGACCAGAGCACCTTCTTCCACATGTTTGGTGTGTCTCCCAGGTGGCTTGTGGCAAACTTTAAACAAGACTTTTTATGGATATCTTTGAGAAATGGCTTTCTTCTTGCCACTCTTCCATAAAGGCCAGATTTGTGCAGTGCACGACTGATTGTTGTCCTATGGACAGACTCTCCCACCTCAGCTGTAGTTACCTGCAGTTCATCCAGAGTGATCATGAGCCTCTTGGCTGCATCTCTGATCAGTCTTCTCCTTGTTTGAGATGAAAGTTTGGAGGGACGGCCGGGTCTTGGTAGATTTGCAGTGGTCTGATACTCCTTCCATTTCAATATAATTGCTTGCACAATGCTCCTTGAGATGTTTAAAGCTTGGGAAATCTTTTTGTATCCAAATCCGGCTTTAAACTTCTCCACAACAGTATCTCGGACCTGCCTGGTGTGTTCCTTTGTCTTCATGGTTCTCTCTGCGCTTTAAACAGAACCCTGAGACTATCAAAGAGCAGGTGCATTTATACGGAGACTTGATTACACACAGGTGCATTCTATTTATCGGCATCAGTCATTTAGGACAACATTGGATCATTCAAAGATCCTCACTGAACTTCTGGAGTGAGTTTGCTCTACTGAAAGTAAAGGGGCCGAATAATATTGCACGCCCCACTTTTCAGTTTTTTATTTGTTAAAAAAGTTTTAATTATCCAATAAATTTCATTCCACTTCACGATTGTGTCCCACTTGTTGTTGATTCATGACAAAAAATTACAATTTTATATCTTTATGTTTGAAGCCTGAAATATGGCGAAATGTTGAAAGGTTCAATGGGGGCCGAATACTCTCGCAAGGCACTGTAAATACACAGTATATAGAGTTTCTTCTGTGTATTGGTTTAGTCATCATTATTCTTGGTTTCTGCATTAGCTGTGTTTCTTTCTTATTTTGTGTTAGTTGTGGCTTAAATCAGGTTTTTGCAGTCCTTGTCCGATGCATCTTTGTGGATGATGAATAAAGATTATATTCATCGCTAAAATATAGCAAATGCTGTCAACACTGGTTTAAGAATTGGTTTGTGCATTTGGCTTGGAGGATAGAAATAGTTTGGTTTAGGGACGAGATCAGAACTTAGAACCAAACCAGGTCTGTCATAGGACCAAACGTGTGAACTAGAACAAACATGTCAAACCACATTGAATCACTTATTTATTCTAATAAATCTCCTATATTCAGACATACTGTATTTGGCATTATGCTGCGTAACATGTTATCAGCGTCTTTTTTAAAGTCGTCCCACATGTAGTTGCAAAGCTAACAGTAGCTGCCTCCTAACAGGTATAATCTATCAAATGTATTTAGCCTGACATCCCATGAGCCTAACATGAAATATAGGCTGCGTCTGTGGACTTTTTATTGCCTAAGCTTTGAATTCGGCAAAGGGGATTTCCAAACTTCGAAAGAGAAAGATAAAACATGATGATAGTTTCTGACACCCGGCTTCCTTAGTGGTGTTACACATCTGTTAATTATACATTAAGTCTGAAATTGTAGCTCTGCGCGGCTAGACTAGACTACAGATGTAGTGCATAAAGTATAGACATGTGCCTGAGATAATTTTGAAGTATTTTAGAACCTTATTGTCCCTCTTATAAACTTTGATCATTGGAGAGAAAGTATATTAACATTTACAATTTAATCTAGACACAAATAAAATATGCAAAATAAGGCTGATACATTTATTTTAAATCGAGAAAGTAATGTATTGATTTTAATGTGTGTCTCAGTGCGGGGGGAGCTGCTATTTGGAGTGATCTATCAGATGAATTAAAGAAATTCTCAAACCTGATTACATTTAAAAGGATATTTAGATGTTTAAATATGTATTGAAGATATATGTGCAAGTAAAAAAGTGATGCCTTAAGCACATAGCAAGTAGTGGGAGAGAAGTTTAGGGTTTGGGCCTGTGAGTGTGTGTGTGTTTTGTGTTGTCTGTCTTATACCACCGGTGTAGTATTGTATTACTGTTTGTTATTTACCGTTGTATGTTTGAGAATTCTACTGCTTGATATTGTTAAAACAGTGTATGTGTGAAGGAGGTTGGAACCAAATAAGCATTTGCTTCATCCAACCTCTATTTTGAACCAGGCACAAGTTATTTGTCTGTTTTGTGCAGGTTAGAAATAATTAATGTATAAATAGAATGATCTCCTTGTGGATATTGTTCACTATCTATCTAACCTTTCTGCTACATGTTGAGCACCATATATTTGCAAAAAATCACATTAAACCTAAACTCAAGAAAGTACAAATTACTGGTAAGATATGTGGAAAGTGACACCAAAAAATAAATTTGGTTGAAGATCATCTGGTTGACTGCAGGAAAGATGGGTTTAATGTTGCACAGTGGGACACCTGGAGACTCTTTCGTGGGTCACATGCAGAGGACAAATGTACCTAAAAGGACACAGGGACACAACTGTACCTTAACTTTTTGCCCCACTTTCGGGACTTGAGTTTTTCCTGTTTCTTTATATATTGCCTGACCTATATGACATCATGCTACGTTTATAGGTTGCTTGTCTTTGGAGTGGTTTTGTCACACTGTGCCATATGGGAAACACTGAGTGTATTCTGGTCGGGCCTCTGTGATTCCCTTCTGTGGTGTTTGGAGTACGCCCTTATTTCCAAACTAAAACTATAAGCCTTCAGTCTCAAACCACACAAGACTTAGGCCTGGTCTACACTGGGATCATTAGGGCGGCTTGCACAGACAGCCACAGAATGGAGCATGGGGACAGTGGCACAAACTGGAATAAACTCCTCAATAGAGAAGTGTCATCTGCGTCTGAATCAAAGGTTCTGCTGTTTTATTATGAGCTGTGACTTAAGCTCATATATATACTGTAAAGTAATTGCAGGATTGTTTGTCTGATGTGATGAAATCAAATAAGTGCAAAGGTGTCAGAACCATGGGTGGGAAATACTGACAAAAATAATATCTTTATTTGTTTCTGGAATGTGGCGGTGTATCGTAAGTGTCCAAAGCATGCTTTTAGGTTGAAGTTCAAGATTTGAAATTAACTAACCACAAAAATCCCAGAATTTGGAGACCAAAAAGAAAAAACGTGTCCTCCATCAGTATAAACAATGCCGTGATCTTTGCTTTAACTCTGTATCACTCTATTCAATACTCAGTGACAATATTGTGTATAGTTTTGATTGCCCGCATGTAGTTAGAAGACTTTGTAATACTAACAAAAAACATGTTTTTTCAGTATTTTTTGTCCATTTGATGTGGAGTGAGAATAAAAAAACAAATATGTAAGTGCTGTCTATTCTGTTGTTTAGACTTTTCCTAACCTCTGAAATGTGATGGCTATACACTTTAGTGCATCACTCCTTGTCCAGCTTAGATCGCCCCATTGGAGATCGTCTGCCTGTGTACACATAGAAATATAAATAAAATGTAACTACAGAGTACACTCATGAAAATTATAACTTTGTGGCTTGGAACCATGGTTAGACAGATGAAGCAGTGGAGTTATGGGCAGATGGTGACACAGTGGAGATTATGGAAATTGTTTCAAACTTGTGATACCAGTTGATTTTTCCCATGTTTTAAGAGCGAGCAGTTACATTGTGATTGTGGCAAGCAGAACAGAGACAGTGTTGTCGTTGTGGTGAAGGTGAGATGTCAGAGGTCCAAGTGTCAGCTGGAGTGTGTGTCTGGTATTTAGCACAACTGTATCACAGTCTGGCAACATATATATATATATATATATATATATATATATATATATATATTATTGATTATTAAGAGGGTCTCTTAATATCAATATTTTCATGTTCATTGAAAACGTGCAACCAACAACCACCAGCCCATATCATATATATATATATATATATATTTATAGCACATGCTGTTGTTCAGCATGATTTAACTTAACTTAAATATACCATTGTTGAAGCACAGTGGTATATATTTTAAATCTTCCTCCTTTCAGATGGTGATGCCTCCACTGCACTAAAAAAAATCAAAATATAGTCACAAAGAAAAATCTCTTATCTATGTTCTAGAAAATCCACTTGAGTTCTATGAATATTTGTAATTGTATATTATGTGAATAGAGGAGCCAAAATAGCCGTGGTCCATAACCAAAATCCACTACTTTTGCACCTACTCTCAAAAAGAGATTGTATTACGGTTATAACAATTATTGTTGTATTGACTGTTGTATTGGATTGTAGAGCTGTTTATCTGTCCATTGCAATGTGTATTCATTGCAATGGATAATGTGATAGAATGCTTCACTTACAATCACAATATCTGTGGGTGGTTTTAGCCTTCTGTTAGAGATTTCTGCTGGTAAATGATGATCTCTTGTTGAATATGTTTATTATTAGTATTTTTTGCTCCTGTAAATTATTTTTTTTTGAGTGCTGCTTCCCCTCTGACGACTTGTCCAGGCAATTCTCCTCATAGTAGCTCCATCTTGTGGCAAAAGAGTGACATTGCAAACCTGTTCTTAACGACACTGTAGCCTCATCTACTGTGACTGGCAGCCTGCCTGGTGCTGCATGCATTCAGACTTGAATAGTTTTGACTGTGTGGTCTTTACTGAGTCTGTGACGACAAAGCTTTCATAGATTTGTTAAAGATTTTTATAGTCTGTCTTGTGCTCAACTGTTTTTGATACAATGAAACAGTCAAAAGAACATGTGTTATGTTTTTTTCTTTTTATAATAATAATAATAATACAATTATTTGGTCACGTTTGTTGAAATTAACAGACTTTGAGCTGGACCCTTATCCACAAAATTATAACCAACTAATAACAGGTCCTTTTGTTGTCTGCCATGTTAAGTTAACTGTATGTGACTTATTAATTCACGAGAAAGCACTGGTGAACCCGCCATGCATGCAAATTTGAAGTGTAATTCTTTGTTATTTTTGAGGGCGTGTTTTTGTCATGACCATGGTCCTTGAGGCAGGAAAGGCCGCAGATGAGAAGTTCAGAGGCAGTTTGGGGCCGAACAGAGCGCTGCATTGTACCTGGTTTTAGTGAGGGAGTTATGTGTGCAATCTGATCCAGTATCTCGCCCCCGACAGAAGCACACTGTCTACTGTCCCTGTGGCCTGACCCTAAAGGACCCTCCCTTTTCCTCTGCTGCCCTCTCATCACTTTGGCCTTTTCATACCTGCCCCTCTCAATATTTCATTCCCAGCATTCCAGAGCAGATCTGCAGAACTCCTAGAAAGTAAAGTAGTTTGAGGAATAACTGGGAAATGTGCAGTTCAGTGGAGCTTGATTGCTGCTCCTTCCTCCCCGTGGGTTTAGTGGTCAGTTTCTTGGAGACAGACAAGTGAAAGGTGTGTTATATAATGTCAAATACATACAAATGTAGTTAATGGTGCAGATAGTGTACTGTTGTTTTATCTAAAGCTATAAACAACTGTGGCGCCACCTGCAGGTGAATGCATGATGGGAGACCTCTGAGAACACCAGGTGCCACAGTGTCATTGTGTTAGAGACCTCACATTACACCTGTGTTACAGACCTCACATTAGTTAGGCACTTAACATGCCCTGCCTAGATTGGTGTGTGAGTGAATGATTGGTGGTGGCTGGGGGGGGCATACTGGCTGCCTCTCTTCTGTCACTCTGCCACAGGGCATGAATAATGCAAAGTGAAGTTTGAGTGTCCAAATAAGCACTATATAAAACTGATGCATTATTATTATTTTCAACCTGCATGTTGTTTAGACTACAGCATGGACACATTTTTAAAGCATCTATTCAAATGATTTACTTTACACTTTATAGGCCATGATTTTCTTCCTCACCAGTGATACCTGGCTGGCACTAGTGCCAAGAAATACTACGATGGTATGTCTTTGTGACAAAAATGTGTTTCGGTGTTTGTCTATCTAAAGAGAAGTTCAAAAGAGAACATGCCTCTGCATTGATGCCCTAAAAAAAAAAAAAAAGACTTTCTTAGCTGGATTATTCAAGAAAAGTTGATATTTCAAATGAAATTACTCATTTGCTTTGCCTTGCAGTTTTTGAGGAGCAGTTAATATGATGTATTTGCTATACTTGTTTCGTCCATGTGTTGAATAAAGCTTTCTTTTCATGACACAAAATTGCTTCTCTTTACCTCCCCACCTCATAGTCACAGTCTCTATAACCAGTCTCTTTGTAACCACAGTTCCTCCTTTGCAGACCCAGTGGATGTGCTGCGAGCTCTGCAGGTTCCCTCTCTCCCCGAAGGCGTGAAGAAAGTGCCTGGTTTCTGCACCTCTCGCCGATCCGGCTCCCCTGACCATGCCTTCCGGATCTCCAAGCGGGCGCAGATCTCTGCCCCGACTAAGCAACTCTTTTCAGGTTTCTGTCAACACTTCGAAACACATGAATGATTCATTTCTGTCATTTTATGTGCTCCTGCTGTAATGTGTCAACGTTGTGGAATAGGAGTGTTTATAGAGGAATGTTACATGTTGTGGCACAGAACCTCTCAAAACATTTGAATTGTTTTTAATTGCTGACATTTACAAAGACCTACATATTTCAAATAGGACTTCTTCTCACCCCCAAACAAATAAATTAACCAAACAGCAGAACACCGTCTTATCACTGAGACCAAATCGTTGTCTTTCACCTGCAGTGTCCACATCCTCTTTGACGGTTACAGACTGAAACATGTCATGGCACAGGGTCTGCCTCAACACATTCCTAATTGTGATGGAGACAATTTTCCAATTTAAAAGATAATTATACGGCGCAGTGTAAGAAGCCTGAACTTAATTGGGAGGGGAACCACAACAAATTATCTTAAACTTAAATTGTCTGACATCGTGAAAATACAAGGTGCATTTATGTGGTTTAGGAGAAAACTTTAGCTCTTACATGTCCCTCTAAGATTTCATGAATCATATTTTAACCTCTTCAACATTTGAGTTGAGCATGGATCAAATTGTTTGTACCCCTGACTTTGTCTTGTCTTTGGAGCTGGATATGGATGAAAAATTTAATCTGAACAAACATCTGTGATACACACTCCAAATGTCGTCAGTGTAACCGTGGCAGTAACATATGCACAACCTTCTGAGCGTCTGTAGAATAGTAAAGTGGTCAAACTGTTGCTTATGCTTTTCAAACAATACTGAATTTTCTCATATAATTTTATTTCTGTATATTTCTGAAAAGTCAAAAGTAAAGTTTAATTTAAAGCAGGATAGGTTTGTACATACAATTTCTTTCCTACCAAACTTTTTTATTAAATCACAATGATATACTCTATGTATACTCTAATATAGAAACAATTTGAAACAAAAATTTAAGCAGTCTACAAGGACACCTGTTGTATCCAGACTTTCCTGCCTGGCCTCAATATTAAACATTAATCAAGAAAGACATTGAGGCAGACATCAATCCAGAGTGTCCAAATATTTGCACCCCTCCCTTAACACTGCAAAAAAAGATAAAAAAATATGTTCATTATGTGCTTGTAGTTAGTAAGGATTTTACTGCATTTTGACTCAATTTCTTGCTCTTGTTTTTCTTTGAATGTTAAATATTTAGATTAGAACTTATTAGTTATAAGAAAGAAGCTGATTGTTTTTATTAAAATCGACATGCTTTTTGTAAGAAAATATGAGATTATACTTTCAGTCAATAATGATTTTTTACATAATCCCCTCCACAGGTCGTTTCCCTGAGAACTTCTCGATTATGGCTCTGGTTAAAGCTCATGCAGGTCTGCAGGCCTTCCTCCTCTCCATCTACAGCGAACAAGGAATCCAGCAGCTGGGCATCGAGATGGGACGCTCCCCTGTGTTTCTGTACGAGGACCAGAATGGAAAACCTGCTCCTGAGGACTACCCACTGTTCCGAGGCGTCAACCTGGCTGATGGCAAGTCAGTAACCACCACCAGCACCTAAAGGATACTAAGATTACAGTCATGTTGGTGTGTTTATGAGGCAGTTGATGGGAGGCAGGCCTTAGGGGAGGGAAACTTTTAGCTACACTGCAAAAAATGACTTGAATTAGGTTGAATTGAACATTGAAATTAAACAATTTTGGTCTTTTTGTATCTACTGGATTCAAGCATTTCCTTTTACTTTATCTATTTTTGCAGTGCAGGGGTGGCTGAAATTGAATTCAATGCCTCAAAAATGATGGATTTGCTATCTACTTTTTAACTAACAAAAATAATACTGCAATGTTAAGGTACAGGCAAAGAAAGATTATTCCTCAGACTCCTCATATTTGTTTTTTGCGGTGGAAGTGATTTAACCTGTACAACTAGTTTGTTTTCTAAGACATTGCCAAAAATATGAAATGCTTGGCACAGTACATTTGAAAGAATTTTCTCAAGAAGAAGTTAAACTTTATTTGTAGGACACTAAATAGATCTGGCTTTTCAGAAAACTACTTGAGAAACTGTAGATTTCAAACCTTTCAAATATTTTTTTAGAAAAATTGTGAGCTCATACTCGTTGGGGACGATAATGAAAAAGATAGAATGTTGTTGCGACCGTGATAAGACTTGTGGTGATAAATTGTCCAATTATTTACTAGACTTTACAATAGAAAAGCATCTCAAACCGTCTCATTTTATCTCAAATATATTAACTTGTCATCTTCTTGTCTTCAGATGGCATCGCATTGCTTTCTCAGTTTCCAAGAAAAACGTGACTCTGCTGCTGGACTGTAAAAAGAAGATGACCCGTCCTTTGGCGCGTGGGAATAATGCTGAAGTGGACACCAATGGAATCACTGTTTTTGGAGCCCGTCTTTTGGATGAGGAGGTTTTCCAGGTGAAAGCAGATGTTAAGTTGTCAATCACATAAGACTGTTACTCACAATGGGTTCATCGTGCAACAAATGTCCTAGGTTATAATAATGCATCGGTTTTATATAACAATTTTTTGGACACTCAAAGACGCTTCACATGTGTCCTTATTCCTTCACTCCATACACGGTGGTGTACTACTACTACTACTACTGTAGCCACAGCTGCCCTGGGGCACACTGACAGAAGCGAGGCAACCAGTATGCGCCATCGGCTCCTCCGACCACCACCAACCATTCGCACACACGCCAGACTCATTCTAGGCAATGGGGGTGAAGTGTCTTGCCTAAGGACACAACGACAGTTTGGCACTTTACAGCCGCAGCTGCCCCGCTGTGGCTGGTGTTCCCAGAGGTTAAGTGTCTTGCCAAGGACACAACGACAGTAGTCAGTGGGAGTCAATGGTGAAAGTCTTGAGCGGGGCTTGAACCCACGACCTTCTGGCTCAAAGGCCAACGCTCTACCAACTGAGCTACTGCCGCCTGGATAGGTTAGCCCTTGATTTTTCCTTGTTTTATCCTGGAATTCTCTTCTGCTTTGAATTGTTTTAGCTGTATTTCAAATTGCAATTAAACCTGGTTGTGCACTTGTTTGGAGGAATCAATATGAATTTTGCAAGTTTCCATGAAAATTTTTTTGCTTTCTTTATGTGATAACATATCAATGCGCCTGTGTTTTTCCTTTAGGGTGACATCCAACAGCTGTTGATCGCCTCGAACCCTCAGGCTGCATATGACTTCTGTGAGCACTACAGTCCAGACTGTGATTCCCCACTGCCCAAGACCCAGGCCCAGGACCCGAACGTCTATGTAAGTAACAGGACAGACTTAGTTAAACTTTATGTGAGGACGCAAATCTGCCACGTACCCCTGAATAACATTCTATGTATTATTATTAGACGTGAGAGAAGAAATACAATGCACTGAGTCAGTCATAAAGTTGTAATACTCCAGATCAGTAATCTGTGGATCCATTCATCCAAACCAAGAGCCTGTTTTACACGGCAACTGTACTCAGAAGTGTTTTCAGTGGGGCAAGGAATGAGATGAAAATGTAGTTTTTTTGTGTCAAAGTGAGGCCAACCAAAACATAACCATTGGACATATGGGCGGCACGGTGGCTGAGTGGATAGCACTCTCGCCTCTCAGCAAGAAGGTCCTGGGTTCGAATCCCGGTCGGACCAGGGCCTTTCTGAGTGGAGTTTGCATGTTCTCCCCGTGTCTGCGTAGGTTTCCTCCGGGTACTCCGGTTTCCCCTACCACTAAAAATATGTCCAATAGTTCTAGCATGCGCCTCCTGTACTGGCGACCCCGCTCCCATCTCTGTGTGGAGTGAGACACAAATGCCCAAAAATTAACAATTGTAAACCGCTTTGAGACTCAGATCTGCAGTGAAAAGGCGGTATATAAATAAAGAAAGAAAAAAGAAATATGTGAAAACTGGTTGCTATGTGTGTGAGGCCTGAACAGTATGAGTGTCTTATGGAGCAGAGTGTGATACAAGTCAATCTCCTTTCATTCACACACCAAACTGACATTTCTTATCTATTAAATTTGTTACATTGATACTGTAGTTGTTTTTAAAGAAACAGGACCTTCCCCAAAATATCCCCAATAAAACTAGATTGGATTGGGTCATCCAGTGCCATCAAAGTGCTGCTCTTTCCTTCTGTCTTCCTTACGCATCACCATCATCAAAGTCAACTTTTATCCATCCACCTTGCTCCTCCCCTTCCTGGTTTGTGCATTTCTCAGGTAAAGAATTGCATATTGAGAACATGAAAAACAAACGTAGAAAGTACTGTAGATTGTTCATATTAAAATTTGCACACATTTCCATAAGTCATTAGTACATGCTTCATGGTTAGAGGTTATTCTGAGCTCAGAAAGTTGAGAGACCATGGATGATTTTCATCATTGATGAACTGAAATGTGTTCATTACATTAAGACAAATCTTGGTTTTGGGGGGAAAGGATTGAAAGAGGAAAACATTAGTCATAAAGATGGCTTAAGGTATAGCCTCTTTGCTTTCTGGGACTGTTTAAATTTGCTTCACTTACACATAATAATAGAGTCACTTCCTGACAGCTTTGTCAGGGCAGTATCATCCGCATTGGACCACTCAAAGTACATGAGCTGTGTGTATTAGCTTGCATGTCCCATCACTCAAAGTGCGCCCAGGTCCTGATCATGTTGATGCTGTTGAGATGACTGTTACCAACATGAATAAAACCCACTCTGGATTTATTCATTGGTTTCATTCAATATCTTTCCTCATTCATCAGGAATGTCAATAATCCTAAAGTTTCAAATAAACTTGATGCAGATCCATGAAGATGTTACTGATGAATGACAATCATATATTTTTAATATTGCTCTGCCTTTTTGACATAACAATGTATCTTTGATATTCTCTTTCATTAGTTTCAAAAACCTCTTCTATCTCTCCAGTCTTTGAGTCTTATCTCCATCTTTCTCAGTACTTTGATGAGGAGCAGGATGACCATGAATACCCTTATTATTATGAGGAAACAGTCATTACTCCCTCCCCTGTGCCCCCTCTCCTTCACTTGAAGCCTCTAACCAACGGGTAAAGGGAGAGTTACTTCAGGAGCTCATTAACAGGGTTTGTGAATTGAGTGCAATGATAAGAGGGCTATCAACCCCAACGTCAAACTAATGGCATATTATATTATAAATATACATTATAATATTATATTTAAGGCTCCCTCATTATCATGTCCTCATTCCAAGCCCTGGTCATCTAATAAATGACTTATTTCACACCCATATTCTATTCAACGTCTCCCCATAAAACAGTAACAGAATGCAATGTTTCAATGTTGACTTGTTTGTGTGTGTAATCAATCAAAGCAAGGCACTGGGGTAGCAACCGTAGAGCTGTTAGATTTTTCTGAATGAAAAACTTCTCTGTGGTGTAACTATGCATAGTGCATTATACTGGATGTGTTTCTGTTCTGTCATAGTGGATGTTTCTGGGGGGGGGGTTTATCTTATATTATCTTAAATTGGATGTTTCTTGTAACTGCACGACTGTGGACAGACGGGCTGAGTCTGTGTTGTGGAGTTTGCATGTGACTATTTTTCTGGAATAGTTCATATGCATGAACGGACTCTTTTGCATTGGATCATCAACATTGGAATATCCTACATGGGTTTTAGATGGTTTGTTTCTACAGAATGTGTTTGAGTTCTGTGTCTCAGCTTCGGTTGGTTTAATACTTGTTTAATTTTGTCTTTAATTCATCTACAAGATCTGCATGGATAATTGTTATAAGCAGAAATGTGTGTTATTTGCATGTGCATGATAATCTTTGTATCTTCTGCACCTCTTTAACATAGATCTATTGTTAAAGGGACTGCATGTAGCTGTATGTAACTGTAATTAAGTGTAAAATCAAATCCACAACTTCAAAAATCAAAACACTCTAAAGACGCATGCAGTCCCCTTAAAACTAGTAGGATGCACTACGCATCCCCACACAATGTTTAATTGTGCAATTTTTTATAAATAGCTAATATTTTGTGTGATTAGCTCCAGCTTTACTTAAACAATCGCAGCCTCAGTGCCTCTGCAAGCTCTAAGAGCTCAAATTGCTGCTTCACCATTTAATATTGAGAATGGCATTACTGGAGAAAACAGCTAATTGATGTACTTCAATTCTTCCATTGTCTTTTTGAAAAATATGGATTGTTACTAAAGCATAAACATCCTGTGCTGTATCCAGTAATGCCTGTACAGTCTCAGTGAACCACCCAAGCCTCAGCCATCTTTATGTCATTGTTTCTCAAAAACAACCTTGTCTCTCTCCTGTCCATGTCACCCCTCTGACCCTGCTCACCCCTCTCTCACCTGCTCAACATTTACATGCACCATTTAAATCAATAACCAATATAGAAGAAACCCTCTAATGGGAAACCAGCCTCAACTAAACCAAGTCTGGTTAAACCAAAACCCAACCCAGCAAAGGCGCTCAAAACAGGACCATCAAAACTTGTTGTGAAACCTCCGATACCCACCAAAGCTTCTAAGGTCTCCACCATCAAACCTAAAGCCAAGCCCACAGCAGTAGAAGTCCTTCTCTCTAAGATCAAGCCAACAGCAGCAGCAACATCGAAACCAGCTGCAAAGAATGGAAACGGCAAAGCTACTGTGGACAAGAAGGTCGCTGCTAAAGCCAATGGAAATGGGAAGGCCAATGCCAATGGTAAAGCGAAGCCAACCACTCCACCTAAAGCCAATGGCAATGGCAAAGCATCAGCAGAGAAGAAGGTTATTGGCAATGGTAAAGCTGTGACCGAAAAGAAAGCTAGCACAAACGGAAAAGCTACTGTTGAGGTTAAAGCTAACGGCAAAGTAACTGCTGACAAGAAAGCCAATGGTAAAACTGCTGCTGATAAAGTTAAAACTAATGGGAAAATCAATTCTAAGATTACTGTGGTAGAAAAGAAGGTGGCAAAAACTGAAACCACTACAAAAACTAAGATTGAGAAAGCAGCCGAAGCCACAAAGTCTCCAAAGCCCTCAAAAACACCAAAACCTGAACCGACAAGGGCTGCAAAAGCTTCTATAGCCAAGACCACCGTGAAGGTAGAGTTTGTCAAAGTGAAGACGACAAAAGCACCTCCAGCTAAGCCCACGGTGACCCAGGCCAACGTGGTCGAAAAGATGACCGTCAAGAAGGTGGTGACGACATCAGCGCCTGTACGACCGACGCCCCCAAGACCCACCAAACCAAGAGTGGTGGACAATAATGTGAAATCGCAGCACAAACCATTCCCTCCGTTTGGCTCGACTAATCTGGGAGGAACTGCCAACCCGGCCAAGAAAATCACCAATGGCTATCAGCAGGTACAACAGCAGGGCCAATGGCTGTCTACAGTATCCACAATGGTCCATGTTGGAACAATCTCTCCACCATCTCGGTTTTGTAACTATGTGTCCCTTTGCAGACCCAATTTCTGAATTTTACAGTTGTCCTTGGTTAGTACCAGTTGTAGTGCTGGTTTAGTCTGGTGTAGGCTTGGTGTAGCTCCAGCTTTAGTTCCGGTGCAGTACCAATTTAGATGTAATGATTGAGCTGTAGTTATTATGCAAGAGAGATAAATCTACATATTCACAGTAACCAAATGATAGATCACTCTTAAAACCAATAAAAGATCAATTTCATAATCTGAAGTCATGATATGAAGTATTATCAGTATGGTCTAGTCCCTAGAAAATGAACGTAAGTTAAGTGAGTTAAGGCAGTAGCCACTGAAACACATTTTAAAATCTGAGGGGATCAGCAGCAGCTCAACCTTGATGGTGGATTGTTGTCTCCATAATGGGGTTTGGATATCAGCTGGATACCGCTCCATTGTTCATCTATCATATGACCACAGCCTCTGTGTATGATATGATGCAGCGGTTTACACCAACGCATGGCTTTTGATGCGGTGTAATATTTTCTCTTTACTTCCACCTCCCTTCAGGCACCTGCTCTGCAACTAAGGCCTTTTATATCAGTGAATGAGCATGGATTGCTTTGGCTCCAAAGCTGAACCTGTGCACATATTTATGTCAACATACACACACACAACTTCACTTCTGTCTTCTCTGTTTGACGTTCTGAATAAAGCAGCCTCACATAAAAAAATAATGGTGATTACGGAGCAAATGTTTATTCTTTTTCTGTGAAGTGGCTGTTACTGAATTTGTCTTGGAGCGAACTGTGCATCCATAGTTAATGAACTGTATATCATTGAGATGCAGATCCTCCTTACTTTGCTTTGGGCTTTCAACAGCTTTGTGAGCTTTAAAAGCATTTTGATATATGAAGAAAATAAATTTCAGGTTTCTCAATAACCTTTTTCTAAAATGTGATTGAGATTCAAAACTATAAACACATCTGAAATTTGTTTTCTAAAATGGACCCTTACAAACGTTGGTCCATTTTGTTCAATAGTGAACTAACCAATCTTTTCCAACTCACTACTTCTTTCTTCATCCCACTTGGATCTGAACCAATCAGGATGTAGATACAGAGTATTCGGAGGCTGGCCACACCCCTACAGAGCCTGATTATTTCTATGAGGAGACGATTCCAGAGGGTGAGGTGATTGCAGAAGAAGAGGCCGAGGTTCAGGTAAAAAATACTCACCAACACATTAGAAAACTGAAGGAAATAAAAATGTATATAAAAAAGTAATTTGTCAGAGGTAGTGGTGAGCCCAGTCTTTGTAGCTGCATAGTTCATTAATACCATAATATTATGTTTTCTCTAACACCACCTGCTGTGTTCTAACAGACTTTCTTTTGAACAACAAGGTGTTGTATTCATCACATCATAAAATATTTGTATGTGGCTCCTCTTAACCTAACAACAAGATGTTTGTTTTTCTTCTATGTGAAGATCATTTGTCTGTTTGATCCTTCAATAGAAGCAAATACAAACTGAATCTTGTGAAGAAGGACTCACATAAAATACTATATTTCAAGTTGAATATGATTGATGAATACAATGCTTTTTTTTCTAAATAATTCACATGGTTATTTTGATGTCTAACTATAAGACTTCAAACCACATAGATATGTATCGTTGACATATCACAGTCACATTTAAGCACTAGCCATCCTCTATCCATTACATTCTACACCTTTTGATCAGAGGGCACCTGTGTTAAGGATGTTCAAGTGAATTTGAAACATTTCTTTGGTAAGTTATTAGACATAGTTTTTTTTGTGCTTTGCCTGTAGTGCTTCCGTAAAGTATTTCAACAATGTTTGCACAAAACTTGTGTATTAGTAGTTTGACAGTAAGAGAAATACTTTCGGGGCTGTAGATTAAACTGGAAAAAACGCTGATATTCAGAAGATTGTGAGTATTAACTTTGCATATACAGTAAGTTCTACCCATAATATTGTCAAGAGTGTTTTGTTTTGTTCCTGTGTCTGTAGGTAAGCCTCCCTTCTCTCGTTTCAGTCACACATGTCTATACTCTTGTCTCTTAATTGCCTTGTCATACCTCAAGCTGTGGAGAAATTGTAAAAACAAACTAGCACCACTGGTTTCAAATCATTTAGATTTATATCGGTCTGTTGGCAAATCTCTTTCAGTGTAGTGTTGCAATGCAAACAATACAGTATAACATTTATTTTAAACAGAGTTGGAAAACATGATGAATAGGTGACGTTACTTTTACTATTTTTTGGGAGGTTGCCAATATCTGTATTCAGGCGATATTATGTGAGCCACAGAACACACAGTATGTCTTTAATCTTGTTTGATTACCTCAGTTTAGTGGTAATGTAATAACTAGGTATTTTTTGTCTGTTAGTTTGTTTTCAAGATAACTCAAAATGGTACTTCCAATTTTTTTAATACAGCACGGAAATGGGACTATAGACTTAATTTAAACATTACTAACAAATGTTACAAATGTATTTCAAAACTGCATTGACAGTACTATCTATCTATGTTATCTGGACCTCTTCTCAGCTCTATTTCTATCTTTCCTCTTTTGACTTGTCATCTGTCCCTTATCATTTCCATCATGGTTCTGATCATTTCTGACCAGCCCGACGTGGACCCATCCTTGTATGGAGCCGAGGTAGATGCCACCAAAGCGGGCGGTTTTGGTGAGGAGGCCTTCACTGAGGAGTATGTGACTGGGGATGTGGGCCTGAAGGAGTACGACTATTCCTACAGGGACTACCACGAGCCGCTAGTGGAAACAGGAGAGATGGATGCCAACATGGGCCCGGCTCTGTCTGCTGTGACAGACGAAGAAGGCGTAAGTAGTTTTGCTTCAGCTGCAAACAGAAAAAAACAATTATTCAACCAAGTCTAAAAATGTCTTTCTCGCTCGTCTTCAAAGTCTTCTGAAGTGACACTGAATCTGTCCCACTTTAATGACAAAGATTTTAAAACGTATGTCTGAAACCTACTGATTGTGACGGCTCATTGTTACTAAAGCTATTTGGCTATTATTGAATCTATATTGTCCTGCTGACAATAATTATTATTTTTTGAATAATGTATCAGAAGGCTCATGGTTAGAGCTCTATATTAAAACATTCATGTCACTGAGACATTTGAAAATAAGTATTTGAAGAGTTCAAATACTTTTGGAAAACAAAAGTTAGACCTGGTTGAAATCATAATTATTTTTTTCAGTAAAACAAGACTCTCTGGACACTCAGGTAAAATTGGGCTGTGGATTTGAATAGCCTTTGATATGTCTGTCTGCCTCTGAGACTTCTGCCATGTCCATCTGTACTGACAGCATTGTGTTGTTGGCTACATGTGTGTTTTCCTCAGGCCGCAGCCAGGGGTCAGAAAGGAGCAAAGGGAGAACCTGCTGTGCTTGAACCTGTGAGTTTATTAGGACTCTAATCTAATTGTTTTTGAAACATTGAAAGCTCAGTACTCTGTTATAGTTGTTATGAGATTACTCAGTCCACTGCTGTTTTACAGGGAATGCTGATTGAAGGCCCACCTGGACCTGAGGGACCAGCTGTAAGTAGAATCTTTATGTTTTAGTTCAGGGGATTGAGCCCATGGCTTTGAGACTGACTGTGGTCTTGGCAATCTGAATGCATAACCCTCATAACCCTTGCCTTTTGGTAGCCGCAAGTGTAACCAAAGAAAGAGAAGCCCACACTTCAGAGAAGTTTGTGCTCCTCTATAAAAGGATGTAAAAAGACTGCATAGCAAGTATGTATAATTTAGATAGAAGAACAAGGGCCATGTACTTGTGCTGAACCTGAGGGCAGAGCTCCTGCTCAGAACTCAGCTCCTGCTTCAGAGACCTATCTGAGTAACCTGATTGTAGAGACAGTGTCTTGTCATAAATAAATCGTCTTTCGAATTATCTTTCGAAACTAGAATACCCCAAAACTTGAAATCTAAAAGAGATGTATTTGATAGTCCTGGCCTTCAAGCCCATGATGCTGTACAAGATGTGCTTCCCACCAGGATAGATAGATAGATTGATTGATTATTGATCCTCGTTGTAGAAATTCAATTGTCGAGCAGCAATAATACATCATCCATACAAACATAAACTCTAAAAGTAATTAACAATGACTTGTTTGGCAGCACGGTGGCTGAATGGATAGAACTCTTGCTTCTCAGCAAGAAGATCCTGGGTTCGAATCTCGGTCGGAACAGGGCCTCTCTGAGTGGAGTTTACATGTTCTTCCCCTGCCTGCATAGATTTCCTCTACCACTAATAACGTGGCGTCTCGTTCTGAACACTCTAAAGTGCTTTGGGTGAACTTGGTCTATAAAATGCACTATAGACATTACTTACTTTCTTACTTACTAATAAAGTTGGCAGCTGAAGACTGTAGTAGCTCTGGGCCTCTAACCTTTGAGCCACCCCTGATTTAGGTGATCATTAAAGACAATGTCTGCATTACATTTTGCCTATTTCATCGGGCAAAATGTAATGCAGACTGAACAGAATCAAACTTGAAATGATCTGAAATCATTTAAGTCATTGAAGAAATTGTAAATTTCTCCTTTGTGAGATAAATAAAGCAAATCTTATCTTATCTTATCTTGAAGTGACACTCATGTTATTGGTTTGTGTATTCAGGGCCCCACTGGTCCCCCCGGCTCGTCTGGACCTCCTGGTTCTGTTGGTGACCCTGGTGAGAGGGTGAGTCTGTATATACTGTATATAGAATATTCTATAGTAGTTAGTTTTGTTTGTTTAGTATCCTGGTGTAACTTTGCTTTTCATGTGGTCAGGGCACTCCTGGTAAACCTGGTCTCTCTGGTGCGGATGGTGTCCCTGGTCCTCCTGGTTCCTCTGTCATGCTGCCAGTGAGCTATAGATCAACATTTGGTAATATTCAAAATGGGTCTGTTTAAACAGAATCTTTTTTTTCTTCTCAGTTCCGCTTTGGTCAGAGCGGTGGAGATAAGGGTCCTGTGGTTTCAGCTCAGGAGGCACAAGCAGCCGCCATCTTGTCCCAGGCTCGGGTCAGTTATAATTTCTGTTAGATGTTTGCAGTTTATCACTTAAAACAAATAAAATATGCTTTTCATAAACCAACTCATGTGTTTGAATGTTTCTGTTGTGTTCAGATGGCCCTGAAAGGGCCTCCTGGACCAATGGGTTACACAGGACGTCCCGGACCTTTGGTATGATTGATGTGCCTCACAAACCGTTTATCATTCATGCTACTGTATCTTGAACATATATTCTCTATTTCAGGGTGGTCAGGGAAGTCCTGGTCTTAAGGGAGAAAGTGGAGATCCCGGCCCTCAGGTAAAATCACCAAACGTAACTATTAGTGTGAATTTGTGTTTCAGTAATGGTATATTTACAACCATTACAGGGCCCCAGGGGACAACAGGGCACAATGGGACCTCCTGGAAAATCAGGAAGAAGGGTAGGGATCAGTTTGTGTTTTTTATTGACTACTTCAGACATTATATGTTATAGATATTTATAATCTGTAATATTTATATTTGTTCTGTGATTAGGGTCGAGCTGGAGCCGATGGAGCCAGAGGTATGCCAGGGGAGTCTGGAGCTAAGGTCAGTGGTTTTTTCAAATGTATTGAAATAGTATTGTTTTTCATCAGATGAGACTATGGCTATATTAGTTCTAATCTGTCTTTGTAGGGTGACCGAGGCTTTGATGGTCTCCCTGGTTTGCCTGGCGACAAAGGGCACAGGGTATGTATACAGTACGATTTCCTTCAATTTACTGGTTTAGAAACGGTTTGGAATTCATTTATTTTTTAGATTATTTAATACACAAAATATTACCATAATATTAAATTCTGCTCTGTTCAGGGTGACACTGGCCCATTGGGACCTCCAGGAACTCAAGGAGAGGATGGGGAGAGGGTAAGCACTCTTTACACTGACATTATAAGATGTATTGTACCATATGATTTATCTTTGATGTGTTTTAGGGAGACGATGGAGATGTTGGACCCAGGGGTCTCCCAGGTGAACCCGTGAGTGTTCCAATAAAAAGTGCAGTGTTACACTGTAGTTTGCAATAATATTCATAAATATACTCTTTTGAGCTGCTTTTGTTGTTGTTTGTGATTCCTGTTTCTTACATGTTTTATGTTTAGGGACCTCGTGGTTTGCTTGGCCCCAAAGGTCCAGCTGGAATCCCCGGGCCCCCTGTAAGTACAGACCAGCTGTGGATTACATATTAGCAATATTTTTATGACTCTCTGGTCTACAAACACCACGTTACCTTAGACATCAACTTGTGAGACCCTTCAATAAATGTTGAATTTGAACATTGTTTCTAAAGTAGCATGTTGCCTTGAAACTTCAAATGAATGGCAACGCATCTTTAGTTGTACTTTTTTATGTGTCATTTATTTCAAAAATGCACCATCTGATGATTTTCTGTAGGGTGTTCGAGGGAATGATGGAAACCCTGGTCCCAAAGGAAACTTGGTTAGTGTTATTTTCATATTTGTTTTTTGGAGCCTTAGAAGTTGATACATTTTTATTTTATAATTGTAATTTTGTTTCTTAGGGTCCACAAGGAGAGCCAGGCCCTCCGGGACAACAGGGAACTCCAGGAACTCAAGTGAGGACGTGGAATCTAATTTTACACATTATTAATATATAAAGACCAGAATTTGTTATAAAGCTAATGTAACATTCCAGTAAATTGATATAAAATCCAGTATTCCAGCTAACGACGGCAGTATCCCTTTAATTCATATGTCTGTTTTATCGGTTATAGGGCATGTCTGGGCCTCAGGGCCCTCTTGGACCTCCAGGGGAAAAAGTAAGTGTTGATTTGGTGTTTAGCTTGGCCTTAGCCATCCGTACACTCCGCTCAATCATCATTTCACTGCATGTAATTTGTACTATGGTGTGGTACGACCAGGCTAGTGATCGTTGGTATTTTATCTTCATTTGTTATAAAGTCCCTAATTTCAAACACATTTGCAGGGTCCAACTGGAAAACCTGGACTACCTGGGATGCCAGGAGCTGATGGCCCACCAGTGAGTTTAATTTTAAATTTTTTATTTTGTTATTGTATTTTGATTGTCTGATACCGATTGTAACTTTTAAATAACTTCCAGGGCCATCCAGGAAAAGAGGGACCAGCTGGAACCAAAGGAAACCATGTGAGACTTTTTTGTCATGATACTTTGCTCCAGAACCTTGATGAAACAACATACTCTCTTAATGACATTGACATATTTTGCGATTTATTGCAGGGGCCAAATGGTCCTCAAGGATCTATCGGTTATCCTGGTCCTCGTGGCATCAAGGTTAGAATTGTGTAAAATAATCAATGTTGCTGTAAAATATCAGTGAGTGATATTTCAACTTTTTGTAATGGTTTTTGGGTTTAGGGAGCTCAAGGAATACGTGGATTGAAGGGCCACAAAGGAGAAAAGGTAAGTCGAAGGTTTCAGTCAACCTGCTTCATGGTTATATGATGTACATTGTGACACGTGGTTCATGTTGTGTTATTTAAATCCAGGGAGAAGATGGTTTCCCTGGAATTAAAGGAGACTTTGGTGCAAAGGGAGAGAGGGTAAGTTTTTATCTGTGGGGAAAAATAAAATCAGTTTTATTTGTTTTATTTTATGTGATATGTTGCCATTACAGGGAGAGCTTGGTGTATCAGGGTCCAGGGGTGAGGATGGTCCTGAGGGGCCAAAGGGTCGTGTTGGGCCCCCAGGTGAACTTGGACCAATTGGACTTGTTGGAGATAAGGTACTGTCCATAAAAGTCTGTTTTACATTGAACAACACAGAATTAATTGCTGACTATTAATACAAATATGTTCTGTTTTATTTTCAGGGAAAACTTGGCGTCCCTGGCCTTCCTGGATATCCGGGAAGATTAGGACCAAAGGTAAGATCAAAGTAAACATATTACAGTTGAAGTAAACGGTTGACAATGTTCACTTGCTGCTTTTTCAGGGATCCCTCGGGTTCCCAGGTTTCCCTGGTTCAAATGGCGAGAAGGGAACAAGGGTAGGATTTTTTTTTTATTATTGAAAGAATTATCTAAATAATTGTATTCAGAGGTCTGCATGCAGCCACTCTGTCATTTTTTCAGGGTCTTAGTGGAAAAGCTGGGCCAAGAGGACAGAGAGGACCAACGGTAAAAAATACACCTATCTATAGATATTCTCTTAGCAATATGGTCGTGGTTTTAAAAAATGTGTGTATTTATTTTTTGCGTCTGTCAGGGACCCAGAGGGCAGAGAGGGCCCAGAGGAGCAACTGGAAAATCAGGAGCAAAGGTTTGAATCAAACTCAACAAACAAATAACTAATTGCTCTGAGAATAGGCAAAACTTGGCAATGGACTGTTGTGGACATCTTCACACCAGTATTCCCCTGCAGACAGATGAGCAGGTCCAAAGAACAGCTGATCCCAATTCTCTTACCCTTTTGATTTTCATTACACCTGCACATTCACCCCATTCCAGGGTGCCAATACTGTCGATTGAAATGAATGCCATCCATCCATTTTCTACCCTTTAATCCATTTCTGGGTCAGGGGGGTGGCAATCAGAGATGCCACCCAAGTCTCATAGCACCAGCCCCTCACTGATCCTCTGCAGGTGGTGAGTCCACAGGAGGACGGCTGCTCTCTGAGTGTGAGCATAGCCTTGATCTTTCAGTGGGGGCTTGAAATGAATGATTATTTGGAAATAATATATTTTTTATAATGCACAAGAAGAATTGTCATGATTTGGGGAATCCCTAGACCCCTGTTTTAGTACTTTATATTGATAGTTTCTGCTGTTTGCATTTGTCGCCTTCTTGTCCATCACATTTGTACTTGGTGGAGGATTGGGGGCATTTCTCCAGCATTGAAAAGATGTCCCCACCAATCCTGAAGCCCTTGACACAGTGGTGACAGATTTGTAATGTTTGGTTATGGTTTAATTTCCAAGGGAACTTCTGGAAGTGATGGCCCTCCTGGTCCTCTTGGAGAGAGGGTCAGTCATTTACCCTTTTTTGAACAATCTGCATTCTGCCTCAAAAATGTGTTTAACTCACCACCACTATTCTCCTCTAAATAGGGATTGCCGGGGCCTCAAGGAGCTAACGGTTTCCCTGGACCAAAAGGACCTCCCGTAAGGCCAAGTTCAGCTAACAATACTGTTTTGAGTAAACAAAAAAGGGACGTTGCTAATTGAATATCTGATTGTTATCAGGGACCACCAGGGAAAGATGGGCTGCCTGGACATCCTGGACAGAGAGGAGAAGTTGTAAGTTGTATTTTTATTTGCTTATCTATTGCGTTTAATATCCACCTTGAAGTATGGCCAATTGTTTGCTCCAGGGATTCCAAGGAAAGATGGGTCCTCCTGGACCTCCTGGAGTTGTCGGGCCTCAGGTTCGTTTCATCATATTTCAGAATAATTGTTTATGATAGTAGAGCAATACTTCATTCTTCATCTCTTTTCCGCAGGGTCCATCTGGGGAGACTGGCCCAATGGGTGAGCGTGGCCACCCTGGACCCCCTGGCCCCCCTGGAGAGCAGGGTCTTTCTGGACCCTCTGGAAAAGAAGGCACCAAAGGAGATCCTGGTCCCCCTGGAGGCCCTGGCAAAGATGGCCCCCCAGGACTGAGAGGTTTCCCTGGAGAGAGAGGACTTCCTGGTACCCCTGTGAGTAATTTCCCACTAGTATTTTATGATTCAAACTAGGGCTGCACATTGTTGGAAATTAGAGCGATATTCCATATGGGTGTGTAATATGTCGATAACGATATTATTGCAATATTATTTTCTTTCACTTAAAAATGCAACTTGCATTTAACCACAAAGAAAAAATCTCTAAAAAAAAAATTAAGCACAATTACATTCAAATTCAGTATGGAACACATTAACCTAAAGTTGCCGATTCCATACACACAGTATTGACGGAGAGTGTACACTTTGCTATATATCGCGTAATGGCTGCAGTTGTGTCACTTCGAAGTTTTTTTCTAAGGAGTTACAGAAGCAAAACTGTCGTTAATCCTCGTTTGCGCATTTGCCTTTTGCTTGCCCGGAGTGTAAACTCTCTTTTTATTGCGCATCTTTTAGATATTGATCATGCACGTACCAATATCGCAATGACAATATTTTTTTGATATATCGTGCAGCCCTAATTCAAACTGAAGAATTTACCTCGGTTATTTATCATACTTAATTTTTCTTTCAGGGAGGTGGAGGACTGAAGGGCAGTGAAGGACCTGCTGGACCTCCTGGACCAGCTGTAGGTTTCCATCTCCAGATGAAACATCCTCATGTAGACGAGAAGGAAACACTCACTTCTCTTGCTGTTGTTAGGGATCTCCTGGTGAGAGGGGAGGGGCTGGAACAGCTGGACCTGTTGGACCTCCAGGTCGACCTGGACCTCAAGGACCTCCTGGATCTTCTGGAGAGAAGGGCGTTCCTGTGAGTGTTTATGAGACAATGGTGGACCAGTAGTTAAATTAAAGAAAACTCATTGTGGTGTTATGTTCTGCTCAGGGGGAGAAAGGACCTATCGGCCCAGCTGGACGGGATGGGGTTCAGGGCCCTGTGGGACTGCCTGGTCCTGCCGGATCTCCTGGGATACCAGGAGAGGATGGAGACAAGGCAAGGCATTGTTCTCAAATACAAACCGGCACGAAAATGAAAATGTGATCATGGGATCATTGTGTTTTGACCATCAACAGGGTGAAGGTGGAGAGCCTGGTCAGAAGGGCGCTAAAGGTGGAAAGGGAGAGCATGTAAGTTTAATTTTAAACGATTGAAAATCTTTCTTAAATGATCTGAAGATACTTTACCTTTTGCTTCGACAGGGTCCTCCTGGTCCACCTGGTCCAATGGGCCCTCTTGGTCAGCCTGGACCTGCCGTGAGTAAACTTATGTTCAATCATTTCAATCTAGATATACTTTATATTGATAGAGGTTTAGATACATGTTTTTTTTACAAGTACATTAGTATAGTTTGTGCATATCATGTAGTCTTCTCCCATACATATAATTCTGATGTTGATTTCTATTTGAAATGGAGCCCCGTTGTCATTATCTATAATAATAATTCAATAATTGCTATAATGCAATATGATATAAAATCCAATTAGTTGTGAATCAAGACTAATAATATTGTTAACTGTGCAGGGCGCTGATGGAGAGACTGGTCCCAGAGGTCAGCAGGGACATTTCGGAGCTAAGGGTGATGAGGGGTCCAGAGGTTTCCCAGGAGCTCCTGGCCCCATTGGTCTGCAGGTATGACCCAGCTCACTGTTCAAACTGAACAATTTAAAATTACACCAATTTTTAATATTCTTTATGCACCTACTTTCAGGGATTACCTGGTCCATCTGGTGAGAAGGGAGAGACTGGAGATGTTGGACCTCTGGTGAGTTTGAAGTATCAAATAGAAGCTTCAGTCTTGTTTTTGTTCTAGACTGAACTCTCCTGTGTCTTTAGGGTCCTCCCGGTCCACCTGGACCCCGAGGCCCTGCTGGACCCAACGGAGCTGATGTAAGTAAAGTGTAAACTTTCTGGATTTTAACCTCCAATGTGTTGAAAATATAGCGTATTTTAGAGTAGCGTATTGACTATTTAATGGATCTATTCTGCAGGGTCCTCAAGGTCCCCCTGGTGGTTTGGGAAATCCTGGACCTCTTGGAGAGAAGGTAGAAGGTATGTTTCTTCAAACATAAAGGTAGAACCTTAACTGTTTTGTCTGTAGGGAGAGCCTGGAGAAGGAGGTCCACCTGGTATTGGAGGAGAACCAGGAAAGAAGGTGAGTTGTCATTGGAGATTGTTGAGGCAGTTCTTCACAACTTCATCAGCCACAAACATGCAAGAACCACACTGTACTGGGATTCAAGAAAATATTAAAATATTTTACTTTTGTGTTTGATCTCTCTAGGGTCCTCGAGGAGAGCGTGGAGAGAAAGGAGAGGCTGGGCAGCCTGGAACAGCTGGACCTTCAGGAGGTAGAGGCCGACCTGGAGACGATGGGCCAAAAGGAAACCCTGTAAGAGACTGAGGCTTTTTTATGTTTTTAAATTTAACAATCACATGTTAGACACCAAGAAATGTGCTCTGACTCTAGGGTCCTGTTGGTTTCCCTGGTGATCCTGGTCCCCCTGGTGAGCTCGGACCCAGAGTGAGTATCCAATTGTCATTTATACATTTCATACATTTTATATCACAAAATAAACCTTTAATATTGCTTTTCTTCTTCTCAGGGTCAAGATGGTGCCAAGGGAGAGCGAGGAGAGGACGGCGAACAAGGAGAATCTGTAAGTGAAGCCTCTAAACATTGCAGAAGAATATAAAAAACACTTTCTGATACATGCATCTTTTCAGGGCTCTCCTGGACCTCCTGGAGAGAACGGCCCTCTCGGACCACCAGGGAAGAGGGTAAGAACGATAACCGGAATTTTAATAACCAGGACCATTGATTACTTTCTCTTCACAATAGAGTAGGGCAGGCATTTCCAAATACGGTCCTTCGTTCCTATATGTGATCCTCTGCATCGCTAACACAACGCAGTCTTTGAGATCATAAACACAATTTAATCCAGCCAACCTCAGCTCAACCAAACATTCTGTACCTCGCTTAGCTAACCTTGAGAATTGTCACAAAGTTCCATAAATGGTGCTAATGTAGCTGGTGAGATGGTAAACGTTTGTCATTCAGCCAACTTCAGGTCCTTCATATCTCAGTCAAAGCTCAGAACATCTCAAACCCAGTCAAAACAGTTTTATAATCCGGCTTGTCAGCCCCCTCTTGATAAAACATTTGGAGAGCCCTAAAGTAGAGACAATGGCCCTCATTTATGAAAATTGCGCTTAAAAGGGTGTACATTTTGGGTGTAGATTTAAAATATGCAAGATCCAAAGTGGGATTTATGAACGTGTGAAATCCGCCCAGATCCAAGCGTAAGCACCTGCGGCTGTTGATAAATGCTGCAGCTGAAAACAAACGTATTTATGAAAATCACGGCTATAAATGTACAGCAACCGCCTGTTTTACGCCACGTTTTTGCAACATTGCTGAATGGAAATTGGCCAGGAAGACTGTTTGGAAGCCTCAAACGGCCTGTGGCACAACCTCCTGAAGAGTTGAGTTAGTTCATGTTTGTTTAAAAAAATATATACACTATATGAAGCTGCGTTTCCACTGAACAAATTTGCAAAACTTTTTTGATACATTGCAAAAATCTCTCTTGAACTTTAGAATTAAATAGATAATCAATGAATGAATGTTAATATCTCAACCTCAGTGGTGGCTCTCATCATTAACTATGAGGCGTCTGCATCTGTACAGTGATCTCTGTACACTTGGGCATCACAGAGAAACTCTGGATCCAAAACTTCTGAAAGACGCGCACCACATTTGAGGAGTGATGCCGTGGGACCTTGGGGCACTGCCCAAGAGAGCCACTGCTCAAGAGAGCCACTGCCCAAGAGAGCCACTGCTCAAGAGGGCCACTACTCAAGAGGGCCACTACTCAAGAGGGCCACTACTCAAGAGGGCCACTACTCAAGAGGGCTACTACTCAAGATAGCCACTGCCCAGAGAGCCACTACTCAAGAGGGCCACTACCCAAGAGGGCCACTACCCAAGAGGGCCACTTCCCAGAGAGCCACTACTCAAGAGGGCCACTGCCCAAGAGGGCCACTACCCAAGAGGGCCACTACCCAAGAGGGCCACTTCCCAGAGAGCCACTACTCAAGAGGGCCACTGCCCAAGAGGGCCACTACCCGAGAGGGCCACTGCCCAGAGAGCCACTGCCCAGAGAGCCACTACCCAAGAGGGCCACTGCCCAGAGAGCCACTACCCAAGAGGGCCAATTCCTAAGAGGGCCACTGCCCAAGAGCCCATTCCTACAGATTAGCGTGTTGCCATCCTATCTATAAATTGGCTACATGTGGACAGGGCAGTGAGACGTTTGGAGTGAGCAAGACCACAGTTAATCATTTATGAGGTGTGTGAGGCTTTCACAAAACTAATGAAAAAACACATGACTTTGCCAGATGTGAATGAGGCAAAACAAATAGCCATGCGTAATTACGCAGCGCAGGGCCTGCCACAGATTTATGGAGCAATAGATGGGTCACACATCCCTGTAGTGTTAGTAAGTCAAGTGTATTTGTATAGAGCCTTTCACAGACCAGGTTCACAAAGTGCTTCACATTTTAAAATCATACAGATGAAAATAATACACATACGAGTCAGATTTGAAAACAAAGAAACAGATGAGCGTCCTCATCATGAACTTTATTTATGTGATTTATTCGAAGTTTGCGTGTTTACATGAAGACATTTTTGCGTGTAGACATTTTCCGATGTGCAAAATCAAATTTCAAAATGTGATGCTCAATGGAAACGCAGCTTAAAATTTTGTGGGAGTATGTTTATAGTTGTCCAAATCTGGAATTTTGTTGCATGTTTTTGCGTGTTATGATAAAAGTTGAGATGGGTGTACATTTACGCCACCTCCAGACTCAGCGTATATTCTGTGCATATACGCTCACTTCCAGATTGATAAATGCCGAAAAGTGTACATTTTTTCCTTACGCCACATTTACACTCTGATTTGGCCGTAGGCAAGTTTCTTAAATGAGGGCCAATGCATGGGTGATAATAATAGATAGATACTTTATTGATCTCCTGCAGGGGAAATTCAGGTGTCCAGCAGCAGAAGACTCATCCAGGTCTGTTGTACAGTCTGACAGCCGAAGGAACAAAGGATTTCTTAAAACGTTCCGTTCGACAGAACAGTGATAGGAGCCTGCTGCTGCGGTTACTCTGAGCGGCCATAAAGTCATGCAGAGGGTGTCTGGAGTTACCCAGGATTCCCTGCATTAGAACCCTCATCCCTAAAATAAAACAAAATCTCTAACTCTAGCACCAAATAACAAGTATAAAATCTCTATCTTGAACATGATAATAATAAATAGTAGAAAGTTTTACATTTGCCAAAATAAGAGGCAGGTATATAGTGCTGTGTATTGATAAACATTTTAAATTAAACTGATTTGCTGATCATCATTGAAATGCTTATTTATGGCTGCTCTGTCAGGGACCCGCTGGATCTCGAGGACCAGAGGGGCGTCAGGGAGAAAAGGGAACCAAGGTGAGATCTTCATCATTATTATGCATTTTGCATTAGGTGGAGAGTCGGTTTAACTGTTACTGTTTTTACAATTGCTAAATTATTTCCAGGGTGTTGCGTTGCGCCTCCTTAATACTAATGTTTTCTGTATTTGCTGATCGTAGGGAGATGGAGGAGCAGTGGGACCTCCAGGAAAGACTGGCCCCGTCGGACCCCAGGGACCCCCAGGAAAGCCAGGAACAGAAGGTCTCCGAGGGTTGCCAGGATCTGTGGTAGGTTTCTATGAAAAATACAGAAATACTATATGTTTGAACATCAACGTGTGATGAACACGCTAGAAATGATAGAAGAAAACACTGGATAAAACTTTTATGTGTTTCAGGGTGAGCAAGGCTCTCCGGGAGCCACTGGACAGAAAGGACCCCCAGGGCCCATTGTGAGGAAACCATATAATCTCTTGACTTTATTTATATGAATGATTCTTTCTGTTATTCACATGTTCTCTGCTGCAGGGGCCTCCTGGTCTGGCCGGTCTGCGTGGAGATCCCGGGGCTAAAGGTGAGAAGGGCCACCCAGGTCTCATTGGTCTGATCGGACCCCCCGGAGAGCAGGGCGAGAAGGGGGATCGCGGACTGCCAGGCCCTCACGGCTCCACTGGGCCCAAGGGAGAGACTGTGAGTGTGACATCACATCATGAGGCACAATCTGATCAGCTCTGAAGCAAAAACCTCTTTGCGTTTAGGGAATGTCCGGAGGAACTGGTCCACTCGGCCCTGCTGGTCCCCCTGGTCTGCCTGTGAGTTTTTATTACTCTTTTCTATGATTAACACAGTAATAACGTTGTGCAAACTAATGACAACCAAAACTTCTGTTCAGGGTCAACAAGGTATCAAGGGAGCTAAAGGAGCCACTGTGAGTTTGGACTGTGTTTTCAATTATAATGTATTTTATTTTTATTTTTCTGATACTTACAATATGTATTGTTTTTAGGGAGGCTCTGGTCCAAAAGGAGAGAAAGGTGTCTCTGGACCCCCTGGACCTCCTGTAAGGCCTCATCAAATGTTTAAAGCATCAAGGATTGTTTATGATTTCTTATTGATAATGAAAACACTTTTCATAGGGCCCACCAGGTGAGGTCATCCAGCCGCTGCCGATCCAGAGGAGTCCCAAATCCAAGCGCTCCATCGATGCCAGTCAGATCATGTCAGACTCAGACATGCCAGCTGCTGATGCCACCGGGGCAGAGTTCCTCACGGGCAGTGAAGGTTTAGAGGAGATCTTTGGATCACTGGACTCATTACGAAAAGAAATAGACACTCTGCGATTCCCACTGGGAACTCAGGACAGCCCCGCCCGCACCTGCCATGACCTGTACCTCAGCCAGCCAGGAATCAAAGACGGTGAGTTTTGGTTCGCTTATTAACAGAAATACCACAGCAAAACGGTACATCGAGGCAGCTGTTTGCCTCTCTTTTCACGATGGTTCATGGGAAATAAGAAGTCTGCAGTAGACATTAAAATGCCTACATGTTCTCTGACCTTATGGATGTTTGATTTATGGGCAGTGAGAGCAGAGATGTACAGTAAGTGTGAGATTGTCTTTTCAGAAGAGGTTTAACTGTGGGTGGTGTGCGTCACATCCACTGAATCTCAGTAATTCACTTTTTTTCAGCCTCATATTTCTATGTGAATATGAGACGGATTTTACCTCATGTCACCTGAAAGAAAAGCACACGCTGGTCAAGTTTGTGACAGCAATTATAGTTATAGAAGTGTGAGGTCCATACTTCTGTGCAACACCTGCTACTGCAGGGGCGTGTCTGAGATGAAGACTTCAGGGGGCCCAAACTTAATATAAATATAATGATATTATGTTTAAGAAGCAGCAGCACATTAAGTAGCTGAGTGGGTTTCTTTAAAAAAAAAAAAAAAAAAGAATGATTATAAGAAACAGGTGCAATTGTTCTTTTAGAACCCCCTTCTGTGTTTTCTCTTTAGCTCTGTTTTGTTGGCATTGCTACAGTCGCTCTGGGTATGTTTATTAGCCGTAAAAACAAGTGCTCTTATCACTCTTGACTTGAGATGACTGAGAGCTGTCAGTTTATGTCTGAAGTGAAATTGCCGAATGTAACATCCATCTTTGGAAACCTGCTCCTGTGCTATTGTAAATGTAATATTGTCTGTTGTTTGCAGGAGAATATTGGATCGATCCAAATCAGGGCTGCTCCAGAGACTCCTTCAAAGTATTTTGTAATTTCACAAAAGGAGCTGAGACATGCTTATATCCCAGCAGCAGCATTAGCCACGTCAGTTCTTATTTATTTTCGGTCTCATATTCACCTGAACAATGAAATGTATGTATTTGTAAAATACTTGTTGATTGTAGGTTAAGATGAGCACGTGGCACAAAGAGACTCCAGGATCCTGGTACAGTCAGTTTTCCACAGGAAGCAAAGTGAGTCCCACTGTTTCAGTTGCTTTTCTTTACTTCACTACTTTGTACCACTTTACTTTGTTCAGTTTCATAATATTGTATGTTATACTTGTCCCCAAATGTTAAAACAAAAAACATGTTTACAGATAACAAGCAGACTACAAATCTAAGAATGTAATTATCAAGTAAGAGTGAATTCTATAACTTTGTGACCATATATTACAACTTAATAAATGGAAATCGGAAGGAACATTTTAGTATCTTTTAAAACGTTGAACATGAAGATTTAGTTAGTTAGTTATTTATTTAAAAGGACAACGGACAGGTACATTAAAAAGATGGCTGCCCCAGATTTAGCACAATGCTAATTTCCATCTGTAGTCCTTATACAATCAAAAATACAATTAAAATACATAGCAGAGTTAATTAAAATACAAAACATAGACAATAAACATGCAATATATAGTAAAAGTGCAGATGAAAAGTGCCAGTTGCATTCATAAAGTGCAGAATGACAAAGTGCAACAGTTTTCATAATTAATTTGTAGCTATACATAATTAGCACATAGATACAATAGTTTTTAACACTAATAATGTGGTGATGTGGTGGCCATCAGACGATATGGCATCTGAAAGCCTCTGAGACAGTCCTCTTATGAAGACTCTGTCAATACTGTGATTCTTCTTCTGTCCCAGTTCTCATACGTAGACAGCACTGGCTCGCCGGTGGGTGTGGTGCAGATGGGCTTCCTGCGTCTCCTGAGCGTTCAGGCTCGACAGAATGTCACGTATCACTGTCACCGGTCGGTGGCCTGGGCCGACCGCAGCCTGAAGAACAGCCACAGCCGAGCACTGCATCTGCAGGGAGCCAACGATGAGGAGCTGAGCTACCAGAACAGCCCCTACATCAAGGCCCTGGTGGACGGCTGCTCTGTGAGTGACAGGAGCTGTGTCTGTGAGGATGTGGGACAGGACTGCAGGATGGAGGGCTCTGATTATAGTCACACACGGACAAGGACAAGGACACACTGTAACCAGCTGTGAGCTGACTCCTCCTCCTCCAGAAGAGCATACACCAGATTTATAGTATTTTTTTTATTAGAAAAACTGCAGAATGAGAAGCATCTTCGCATTCTGCAGTTTGATTTTCTGTTCAGATTTTATAACTCTTTACGGAGTCACATAATGATACTGCCTTAGGTCTTGGTATTGCTACACATAAGTAATGATAGTGTAATTATAATGTAGTTTTACAGTCGTTTTATTGGCTATATAGATATATATAGATACTTTAATGAGCCTCTGTAGGAGAAATGCAGGTGTCCAGGTCATGCATCCATACAAGCAAAACAAATAAATAGATCATTCTATTTAGTAGCCGCTTGGTTCTCACAATTGTCTCTGCTCTGGTCCAGAGTAAAATGCTGAATACTTTGTTAGCATTTTTTTTTAAGTTAGTATTCCTCCAGTGGATTTCTGCTTGATCTGCTTGATTCGGACCGTAAATCCTCTCCACTCCTGTCTGGATATTATATATAATATTACATTATATACATTATGAAGAGTGTCCTGTCTAACACCTGTCTCCTTGTCTCCTCAGTACCGTAAGGGCTTCGACAGGACAGTGCTGGAGGTAAACACGCCTCAAGTGGAGCATCTCCCTCTGCTGGATATGAAGGTGTCAGACTTTGGGGAGAGCAACCAACAGTTTGGTTTTGAAGTGGGACCTGTGTGTTTCCAGGGCTAAAAAACACGTCCGTACTGTCCACCGCCACTCACCCACACGCACACAGCTGCACTCCACACACCACGACATGTAATAAACAATGCCCACCTTTTGTAAATTAACTTGTAAATTAATAAATGAAACATGTTCCCAGACACACACATACACACACACACTAAACACTAAACGGTGGGACAATCTTTTGCGATCAGTACCTGCCGGAGGAACATCAGGAATACTGTTGGAAGAATGAGAAGAGAAACATAATTGATAAAGAAACTGCAGCAGAGAACGCGATCGACTGCACGGAGAAAGACGGAGAGAAGGAGAGTCTATTGGAGCCAATCAGTGTTTGTTGAAAGAAATAAGGACCCCACCTCGCACCGCCCTCTGCTCCCTGTAGTCCCTGCGTCTCGCTACCTCCCCCTCCAACATCTATTCTCTTGTTTACAATCAACACACAGCAGAGTTACAACCTGGTGCTTTCGTTTCAGAGGCTTTTGACGTTCAGTTGTGTCCATCAGTGGTGTTTTAGTCAACCCAAATTTGAATTACTCCACTTTATTGTGTTTAAATGACTTGGGTTTCTATGGGAAAACAGCAATGCCATGATACGTACTGGGTATAAGAGGTTTTGATTTGACCTGACATGTCTTGAGCACAGACATTTCAGCATGAAAGGAGTTCTACGGGACAAGAATGGAGATTTGAGTGAGTTAGGAGGAGATTTGAGAGTGAATCTTAAATCTTTTCAATATAAATACATGGATTCATTTTCAGTACTGTTGTATAAATAGTCAAGATAACTAGTTCTGTGAGTGCTCTTTGGGTCAGCTCTTAAAGATACTGAAAGATTTCACCACCACGGTCCACATTTTGTCAACTAATCCATCAAATTGGCTTTCCTGCCTTTTATAGCAACTATTTATTGAATCAAACCCAGCCCTTCCGGTCATGGACATAAACTTGTTATGTGCAATAGCCTATCTCCCAACTAAACATATACTGTACGTTTGGCTCAAATTAAGGACTTGGTATAAATGCATTAACTTCTATCTTAACTTCTGCTGTCAGTTTTGGTCAGTATATTTCAGTGTTGCATCGAATATGTTTCACTCAATGTAAATGTGGAGTTAATAGCTTTAGCAATTGTTACAACCAAAGACACCATTCGTCAGCTATGGCGCTCTGTATGAACTGTGATGAAACTGGTGCTAGATAAGGACTTTCAACCAAAAATGCTGGACAATGAATCACAACGACCAATTTGTGCTGTTTCTATGGTTACTACCAACAGGTGAGGATCGCGTTAAAAGCAATAAATTATGAAAATGTCTTTGTCCCTTTTTTCTGCAGAAGTGAATTCAAATGCATGCTTTATTATAGAAACTGGCTTGGTGCTAATTCTACCAAATGAACTGATGTCTCATTCTCCTTTTGTTTTTTGACCATTTCACTAAGCTTTTTTTACTGGGGAAAATGTGCATTACATACAAATTGTACAGAAATAGTGATATTCTATTGTATTTATTTAAAAAAAAAAACAGGGTGCTTTGAGATTTGAACGTCCACTGCCAAGTTTCCCGACATATGTGGTATCTTTGTATATATTTACGACAGCTGATTAACATTGAGACCATGTGGAGAAATGTTTTACCCTGTTCTTTTTTCTTTTTTATCACCAAAATCTGTGGCCGCATATTCTGTAACAACTTTCAAATGTTTTCACCAATGTTTTTGTTAAATTCCACTGATTAAGATTAAATTGTGACTCTCCATTTCTGCCATATGTTATTTGTGCTGTTTTTAATCGAGGTTTTACTCAGACGCAGGGAGGAGAGGGACGCGAGAGGCGAGTTTATCCACTGCTCTGTGTCTTTTGTATCAGGGGCGTCACGGCGAAACTTATGAAATTTATGTTTTGAACTTTGAAATTTGAAAACTTTTTTTTTTTCTCCGGAAAAGAAAAGAAACCTCAATGTGTTTGTGTTAAAGACAAACAGTTCAACATTAAAAAGGTGCTGAGTAAAGACAAAAGTATTATTTTAAATGTGTGTAATTATTTTCTAAATTGTATTTCTGTAATATATAATCTTTTTAAAAGAGCTGCTGACTCTTTGTTTTTATTTAGCATTTTTAACAATGCCCACAATATGGCAGTATTTTACAGTATTTTGAACCAGCAATTGGAACATGGATCTAACATAATGTCAAGCAAAGATATATATGCATTATGAACTTATAACATCTTCCCCTTTTCACCCAAAATAGTTGCAGTTGCATTGACTTTAACAGCTCCCTGCTGCTGACGTTACACAAAATGTATTGAAAATAATTGTATAAGAAATAACCCACACAAGAGGCTGCTGTATCATGAATGTGTATGTTATACACTTAAATGGATTTAGTTTGCTCATTCTAAATCTGAAATATTCTAACAATGAAGACTTCATAAGCATTGTGTCATTTTCAGTATTTCACTGGAATATTCAGTTCAAATCATTGGACTCTGAATATTTTTATTTGTGGCTCAAGACTAAAAAATCAACAATGCAGGTCTAAGTAGCTAAGACAAAGAAAGGAGTGAATAACATAATTTTATTTATTATACAAATACATATAATAATCATATCTTCTGGTGAGTGGTTCCTTGTCGATGCAAGATAGTCTAAGGTCTACGTACAGTGATGATCCGCGACTTTTAAAAACATTTCTACACATTTATTAACATTTCTGGACAGTGGTCATCCTGCTCCTTATGGACCAATGGCTGCTATGTGTTTGTTATCATTGCATTTCCTGTTTGATTCTCTAATCTGTTGCTGCAACTCAACCTCATTTGAGACGACTGCTGATGTGATTTATGGCTTTACAAAAATACAATTGTTTTAAAAAAATATCATTTTCTGAAGGCCTTTGTTTTAAGCAAAAATCGAGGTTTTTGGTTTTATCCCATGAACAGTCCACCTGGAAGATAAAACACATTAAACATTGAGCTTTGTGATTTGACATTCTGTTGATGTTACCTGTGACTTCGACGCTTGTCCCTGTGATGTACCTGGAGTCATCTGAAGCTAAAAACGCGCACACATCAGCGACCTCTGGTGGACAAAAGAGGAACATATGGGATTATTTGTAGTCGTTCAACTGACTCACGCCGTAAGTGAAGAAAGTGTTAACTGACCAGCAGGTTCTCCCATTCTCCCCAACGGCACCAGCGTCAACAGCTGAAAAAACAAAACGGATGTTGTGGAAAATGAAATGTGAATAAACAGGACACATACAATACAAAAAAATAGATTGTTTATTCTCTCCATATGCACTAATATCAGGAGCACACCCCCCTAGACCTTCTGTCTACATTTTTCAAATTCCGTACGTGACAAACTACGGTGGGTTAAAAAACTTATACATTTTACCCAATAAAATGTACTCATCTGGGAAGCGAATTTATTTGGGCTCAATTGAACATTAAAAAAAATGATTGTGTTAAATTGCAGAAACAGATACAGTCTCTCAGTTTTGAAAAATTGTCAAAAACTTGTATTCCTCTAGTTAAATTCTTAAATGTGTTATTATTGGCAGGAGGTAAAGGATTTGCTCAAAAAGGTGTTAAACTGTATTTGTGTGGAACTAAAATAGATCAGACTTTAAAAGAAATTCTAGGTGAAGAGCAAAGTGTAAGCCTTTCAAATATTTTTCTGATGGTACTTAGAAAATATCTGTTTGTGCAAATTTACTATTCAATTGTTAAGAAGTTGCAGTTACAGTCTTGTAGTACCTGCTCTGTCGGGTGCACACTGGGGATGTCTCGTACAGTTATTCCAATATAGTTTTACTGCTAATCTTTCAGTGAGCATGGTTCACACTGCTGCACAGACGGCTGTCACCAAAAGGTTCCTGTTTCACTGGAGGTGACCTTCCCCCAAAGCAGGAGCTAAAGACGTCCTCTCAGTCTTTCCCCTTGTAGTTCATGTTTTGTGAACGTTCTCAAAATGGGAAAGTGTCGCCTGCGAATTAGTGTCGGGAATGTTCTCAGTCAAATGATGTCATTTTAAACTATGCGCTGTCAATCAAGTCTTGCCATGTTTGATGTTTAACCTTATAGCAGAATGCGACTTCCTTTGATTCTTATTCCATGTTTGTGTCATATTATAGAACGACAAATAGAAAATACAAGTACAAATACTCTTTGGGTAAATGAGGTGAAATTATGAGTTTGGAACACCTTGCTTAGAACCTTGTCAGGAACTTTATCCGTCATTGGAGTTGTAATAAAGCCAGGCAGCACGCAGTTACAGCGAATTCCAAATCTTGAAGAAAAACACATTATTGTTATTTGTTAATTAGTTACCATTTAGCTGTAAAGGCGCGTTCAGATCAAAAGCTTCAAAAAGCTTTTGACGCGCTTCAACTGACGCCGGGATAGTTTTGTCATTTTGGTGCTTGAATCTTTTGACGCGAGTGACGCGCCTGACGCCGGTGGGAGGAGCTTCTCTGTTGTCTGTAGTCAGGACAGCGGTGGATTTTTCAATGAGCAGCGAGCCTTTATTTGTTATATAAAGCAAAATAACGTTGTTGTAGGGCTTCAACAAAACATGTTCTGGGTTCACCACAGACTTGAGAGGCTGCAGTGTTTGCAGAGTTCCGTCATTTACTCCAGGAGCTGCGTACGGAGGAGTTTCGCTTTCAGCGGTACTTCCGCATGTCACTTGCCCAGTCTGAGTTCTCAAACCCCGGAGCTCGCCTCTCCCCGGCTCTCGCTCGCCTCTCCCTGCCTCTCCCCGGCTCTCGCTCGCCTCTCCCCGGCTCTCCCTGCCTCGCTCTCGCCTCTCCCCGGCTCTCGCTCGCCTCTCCCTGCCTCTCCCCGGCTCTCGCTCGCCCGGAGCTGCCTTGCTCTGAGCCAGACCCATCGTCAGCCTGTTCTTATAATTAATAAACTACGTTTACTACACAGCATGTGTACAATGATTTTTGTTACTCAGAATGTTACTACTCATACAAATAATATTACTAATAACAATAATGACAATAAAACAGCAGCAGCAGATACATGACTTCTCTTCATGACAGAGACAGACCCTCTGCTGCTGCTCCTCGTCTCCTGATTGGTTGAAGCCCGCGTCAAAGCTTCAAAAGCTCAGCTTTGCTCAACTTCGGCGTCAAAGGGATTGTTGTGATACGCGAGCGTTTCGCGCGTCAAAAGCTTCAAGTGAGCGCGTAGTACGCGCGACTCTTGAAGCTTTTGACGCGCGTCAAGTGACGCCGGGGCTCTCGGCTTCACCTGACGCGCTTCACCATTCACTTTCAATGGAAACCTGACGCTTTTGACGCCGAAGTTAAGTCCGGTGTGAACGCCCCTTAAGACAGATGGGATTAGAAAAGGGCAAAGTTCATGTTAAATGTGCAGAGGATGGAGTGCACAGAGGACAGTGAGTCATCCTGTCTTTTACCTGCTGAGCTCTTTGGCTGCTGTTCTGGTTAAACCTTCCACTCCAGCTTTTGAGGCGGAATAATTCACTTGTCCAATGTTTCCAACCTGCAAAGAACAGGTTTGGCGACAAGTTAATGATAAAGTTGCTTTGTCTTTTTCCCATTCATGCATATTAGAGGAGTCCACATTCACAAAAAGACTCTCACACACATGAATAAACCACGGAAAAGAAGATAATAAACCAGTCCTGGTGGTGTCACTGATCTAGTTCTAATTACATGAACAGCTGATTTGGTTCTTCTATACCAAGCCATTTGAGATTGTTATTACCTTGACATGTTTCGACATCTCTAATCTCTATATGACAATGGTCTGAGGGCACTACATGAGGCTGAGGGCGCAGTGTCCACGTTCACCAGCAGAGGGAAGTAGGGAGCCATGATGTTGGATTAAAACAAGAAGAATGGTGAAATATGAATAAGTTTTGAGCAACAGCATTGAGTTAATGCGAACAGCGAAACACCTACAATGAAATGGTAAGTGTTCCTTTTTTTTTTTTAAATGGAAAAATACGTAACTCCAACTTCAAGGCCACAACAATTATTTCTAAATGCTCTTTTTGGACAATAAACTGTAGTTAAACTCTAAATAAGAACACATTTTATTGAGCCCAAAGGGTTTTACATAAATTCTTCGGATATAATTTGAAATAAAATGTTCTACAAATGTCAAATATAGTCCTGTTCATGTTTTTGTTTCTTTACCAAAAATGTATCTTATTAGTTTCTGTACTAGTTTTGGGATCATGTAATATCTAGGTTTATTACTTCAGACAAGTCTTTGGTTTGGTCTTTGAATTGAACTCTTGAGTGAGATGACCTTCTCTGTCCACTAGGGGGCAGTGTCATGGGAACACTTTTGCTTGTGCTTGGAACAGGCTGCGATGAGAAGTCTTAAACAGACTTTCTACCTTTATGAATGATTTATGTGCTCGTGTCTCTACAGATGACTTCTAACTGAGTCAAGTGAAGTCACACGGCTGTCTCCCAATATTTTATGACAAATATATTTTATGACAAATATCTGAAAAAAAACATTTAGAAATAGATTTTGAGACTCCTTAGAGATCTGCAACTGTTTCCTCCTGCATGTGTTTCTACTCAATGTGAAATGTTTCTGTGAATCCATTGAAAAGGAGGTTTTTCAGACACATGGTTCAGGAGGTTACTTCAGACACGTCTAAAAGCCAAAGTACTGTGTCCTAATGACATGCTGTTAAACTTTTCCTCTGTGAGTCATTGAGTAAAGAGGGATTTCTATTATTTTAATGTGGAAAGTGGTTTTCTTGCCTTTCCGACTATGCTGCCTACATTGATGATGGATCCTTTGGCAGCTCCACAGGTCACCAGCGCCTGAGCCACCGCCTGAGTGACCAAGAACGTACCCTGGAAAACACAAGTGCTTATGGTTCACATTGTTTCTCTACTTTAGAACCAAACACTCTGCTGTCTAACTCAGATGGAAAGAATATCATTTGACTGGCGGATTTCCCTAAATACATTTTTGAAAGTTTTGTTTGTTTTGTCATAGAAGGCAAAACATTGCCCTGTCTATAACTATGATTGGCAATGTCTTTTTAACTATTTCTAGAGCCCAAATTTGGTTAATAATATAATTCAAGGCTCTGTGAACATTATTTGTATCTGTTTTCTTTGCAGTTGACACATGTTTGCTCTGTACCTTCAGGTTGACTTGAATGACTTTATCAAACTGCTCTTCCTCCAGACTGAGGAGAAAGTCGTCCTGAGTGATCCCTGCTGCATTCACACAAACAGATGGAGGCTGGAAATAACGAGTCTGAAAGAGAAAAGAAAATACAGGTGATGATTCTGGACAATGGAACAAACACAGTAAGAACTAATATTGAGTTTTAACTGCATTGAATAATAATTTCAAGGCTATAAAGAGAAATTTGATCAAAAGACACGGTCCAATATATTTGTCCAAAACATTAGTATAATAAAGACTTTTTTTGGCTGCATCTTGAAGCTGAGACTGTACAACGTCAGCCTACTCTTCATGGGTTACCTGTATTAGGGTGATGAGTCGGTTGACGCTGTCCTTGGACGAGACGTCCACGTGCGCCGCCATGTGTCCTTGTCCCCGTGGCGCCTGCAGAGCGTCCACAGTCTCCAGAGCAGCCTCACGGTTCAGATCCGCAACAACCACCGCAGCGCCCTCTGAGGCCAGACGCTGGCACACGGCTCTCCCGATCCCACTGCCGCCGCCTGGACAGACAGCCACATACCTCACAGGTCTCTCTCTCACAGTGTTATGGACTTTTCAATGTAATCATAATATCAAAGTATGTTGTCAACATGTGTGCGGGACCTGCCCTGACTTCTCTGAGAATATTTATATTTAATCTATAGGTAGAGTTTGGGTAGTTTCAGAAATAACATGTGTAGTTTGTCCAACAACTTTTCAAAGAAACATTTTGTGAATCTGACATTTTGGGTTCATCTTATTATAAAACCTGATTCTTAGTAGTAAAAGAGCCCTGGCTGTGAGTCACTACTTGATGATTTGTGCTGAGAGCTGATTGGCTGAGTGAGGGTGGTTCTCTCTTTGTTACTCTTTCTCTGAAAAAGCTGATCTGAAGATGTTGAGAAGAAGGAACCAGTTACATGGAATTCCAGCTTTAACTTTGTGAACTTTGATTTACTCTCATGTTTCATCTGACCAGTTATAGAGCTCCTGCAACAGTAGTTTTGTTGTTGTTGTTATTATCAAAATGATAAGTACATTATTTAAAAGAAAAACCATTAGCAAATTATATAAACAAAATTGTGTCAAACAAGGGTTTTAGAACTACTTTAAAAATGTAAAATAAAAAAATAAAGTTAACATAACGTTAGCATGATGCTAATGGACAAGACAAGTGATAGTCATATAATTGATTGTATTAAAGTATTCTTAATGTGTGTATAATGATTGGCTCATACTATAGACTGTATGAGTATTGTTAAGGAGACTGCTCATACTTGGTTGTCCTCCATTGGCTAAAATAGTAGTTAACTTAAAAGGATATGCTGCAATGCCCTCTCCCTCGCCAGAGGGACCCCGAATGCCTCCACTGTCCATGAACCTCATTCTAATCCACACTTCATTGAATTGAAAGAACTTAAAATATTTGTAAAACTTTTATTAATATATAACTGCTCAACAAATGTCCAGGGCACCAGTAAAACTCTCTGCCACTGAATGTGCCAAAATTGTGTCAAAAAAGGGTTTTAGAACTACTTTAAAATTATGGGTCTGTGTTACTTTTTGGAAAATATTATCCGATGATTCAAAAACATGTTCAAATCTGATGTGTGTTACCTTTTTACTGTTGTTGTTGCTTTTGATTTTGTTTTTTGGAAGATCCTATATATTGTGTTTAATAAGGGGAAGGAGGTTGGATGTTCAAAAGCGTATTCTTCATCCGAACCATTTACGAAGGTTTTTTTTTGGTTGTACATGAGAGCAGAGAGCACAAGGTGAAAATGGAACCTTTCTAAGTGTGCATGTATTACTCAACAGCCAATGATTTTTTCGAACAAGCAGTGTCCATGGGTGTATTTTATCATATATGTGCCCCTTTAGAGTAAGTACTAATCAATAATGTTTACCATTAACACCCCATCCATACATTTTGACGGCGAGGATGTCTAGAGGAAAGAGATATAATAAAATGTGTAATTACGAGGTGATTACTGCTTTGTCAAAATGTACAATTGAACCTTTTGTTCTAGATCTTCATCTTTTTATCGAGAAGTGTTACACAATCATATAAATGTGAAATGCTTGTTGATATAGCGTTAACTGAACTAGCCTCGTCTTTCACGTGGCTTCGAATAAGTGTTTGCTATGATCCAGTATGATGCTAACTCGAGTTAAATCAACGCAAACCTCGTCACTTCACTCATATCATCGTATGTTTTGGTAAGTCGAGTTTGAAGTAAAGGTTTGTGAAATGGTCCTTTTACCATTTGATATTAGCAATGGCTAGAAATAATCTCTATTTTTGAAAGAATCTATGGTTGATGCTTTTATCTATTTCTATTTTTACGCTATTTTTTAACTCCAAAGCTCGGCTGCAGCTTGAGCAAAGGCATATTTCTAGTTTGTGACTTCTGTCACTTTTAACATCTACTAAAACGCTACAATACTCGTACTTTATCATTTAAAAACATTTTAACAGTTGCTCAGTCTCCCAGACTAAAAAGTCAAAGTTTTTGTCTGTCAGATGTCTGAATACTTAACATGTATATTGCATTTGTCACAGTTATGGTTCTGGTTGTAGCAAGAGCATCGGCAATAGACGATTTTTCATTGGCTGGTTCTTGTTCTGCAAATGGCTGTGTCCAATAGATCATCAGATGTCCAGAAGCTAGGGACAAACAAAAACAAAAGAAAGAATCATGAGTATCTCTCTCATTTAGCACTCATCAATGGCATGATTTCAATAATATAAACATCACTCCCCAGTTTTTTCTCTCTCAGGTCCTCAGGCCCTCAGGGTCCCCTGAGGGTGAGTCTCAGTCGTCATCAGGTCAGGTCATATTTCGAGAGATGTCATCTTGGACATCAGTAGGGTCCAAGCCATGGTTTTGGTCTCTCCAGTTGGACATCAGGATCTCCAGATACAGTCTTTTCACTTGAAGCACATCAGGTCATTTGTCTCAGTTCCTGTACACAGCTTGTTATGCAATAGTTACTCTCTATGGTTAAGTCATTTTGATTCTAATCCTAATCAATGTAATTACATCACACAGTACAAAATCAAAACATAAAAAGTGTCAGGACAGACGTCAATTAAGTCCATGACAATATAGAATTCAAATGAACATTTCTGGTCTCAAAAAATACTGATTCAAGTGATAGACAATTAAAAATATTTGTTTACATTGGAGTAAACTTTTAAAATGCTTTTTTCTCATGTTCTGCTTTTTCATGTATCTATATGTAAATGTGAATGTGTGTGTGTATGAATGTGTGTGTGTAGGGTGTGAATTTTGGGGTTGTGTCTCCAGACTCCTCGAACCACCTGTAGGTGTCAAAGGTCACACTGTGGTGATGTAACCACGTGGACACATTTTCAACTGCCTCTAGGTCTCTACCTGAGGCCTTCACCCATCACTACCTCCAGAAACCTCCACTTTCATGGCCCCGGTCTCACTCCCACTTACTTCTGTAGTGGGGGGAGGGGCGTAGAGGTGGCATTGTTTCCCTTTTGCTCTTAGCTCTGTGGCCTGCTCTGGGTGGGTCTACTCTGGGCTCCTGTGGTCTGATCTCTGTGTCCACTCCTGCTGTCCAGTGACCCTGTACAGTGTGTGCCCTTGGTCCTGGAACACAACCTTATAGTCAAAATCAAAACAACAGATATCAGTTTGTGAATGAGATTGTTTTTCTCTCTAAAGTCTAAACAATTTTGGAGCGCTCTTGGCTTTTCCACATGCGCTATGTAAATAAAGATTACTTATTCTCTTACTAATGATGACATTTTAAGCCCAGAAACTCTCTTAATAAAAAACAAGACTCAAATCTCAAAAATCTTCAAACTTTAAAATATGTATTATGTACTTTTGTACTGTGTGTTTAATTATCTTGAACATTTATCTCAGCATATATTCTACTAATTTAAAATAATTGCAGCATTTTTCAAATAAAGTCAATATGAATTGGAGCACATTTCAGAGCAGTCTCCTCTGCTGTGGCATCAGCAGCAGGAACAAGGTCAGGTGCATAGTCAAAACAAAAAAGTCAGCGCTTGAATGTGAATTGGGTAGAACTCAATATAATACTTTTACAGCTAATCCTAATTCCCTCTTTCTTTTTAGACAAAGTCTATAATCAATAATCACTTTTAACACAGATTCTAATTTAAATGTTTGAAGAATGGCTTTTGTAACTAAAATAAAAACATAAAAACAAACACAACTCACAAAAAGTTAAGAAATAAGCAGCAGATTTAAAAGAAAAGAATAAGCAGCAGATTTAGCACTAATATTTGGGTTTCAAAAACATATAATATTCAAAACTTATTCACTAATGGTGTTTAAAACGTTTAACTGTGTCATAACACAAGGTTTCTCACTTTTTCCCACTGGGTTTTTTAAGAGTTTTTCCTTGTCGATGCAGGAGGGTCTTGTTGGACAGTTAGTGTCCAACAGAAAGGATTGGTGATGATCAGGACACTTTAGCATTCTACAACATGTATGGACATTTTCTTCTGTGTGTGCTTTATACTGTATTCTTCATGTGTTTTAACTGTTGATTCTCTGACCTGTGTTGGTGATTTCAATGGTTTTGTTAAGTCCTCTGAGATGACTTCTGTTGTGACCTAGGGCTATACAAGAATAAATTGTATTGTATTGTATTGTAACACAATGTTCAATGGCAAATTTTGCAAATTTAACTGAATAACAACTATGAAAAGCCAAAATCCTAAAAGCAGTAGCTCTGATTCAGAGCCAGAGCAGCGAAGGAGGGGGCCGTTTCCCCTGACAACGGCAGCAAGATAGAGTGGTGCACACACACAGGCAGAAAGTAGTGTTTTAGCAAAAATGCAAAAACAGAAAGAAGAATAACTTTCAAGATTACTTTGTTAAGCGAATATAACTGATGTTGTTCTTTAAACTTTTGTCATCCAAGTCTAGAAGTGATCACTTTCCACACTTGTAACAAAAGGCACTCTTAGTTTCCCTTTTTATTATTGCTTTTAATTTTTACACCAAACCCTGAGACTGCTCCAAGGGCTGCACGTCCTTCGCCCTCCGGTGTCGGACGTCGTCGGTGCTCCATCTGTCGGGTCAAGCTTCACCGCACGGATCAGCATGCCAGCTGCTTCATGTGCATGGGCTCGGGCCATGCGGCGGAGAGCGCTAGCTGCGCCTTGCGTCTCGCTCTCCCCAGAGAGGAGAGTGAACGCAGGCGCGCGTTCTACGCCGCTACGGTGCCCCGTCCGGACTCTTCTAAGGACGAGGAGTCCGAGATTGACTGGGCCCCACTTGACCTCCCTCCTGTGCCCGCGGAATGGGGAGACTGCGAGGTTGGAGACTCGGAGGACGGCTCGCTCATCACCCTGGACGAGGTGGTTTCCAACCCGGCTCGGACGTGCAGTTGGGGTAGACATCTCAGACATGAAGTAAGTACGATGGTACAGTATGATCTCAATCGGCGCCATAGTGAAAGAGGGGGTGCGGCCTTGTGCAGGGGCCTTTATAGAGGAGGGTCGCTAGTGATTGGAGCAAATTATTTTGATCACTCTGGCGTGTGACCTGGGGGTCACGTGATATCCCACTAGCGAAGTCCGCTAAGGGACGTAGCACCATGACGTAGAACTTGTTTTCCTCAAAAGCAAATGGGAAATAAAATCTAATGTGGTGTAACAATCCAAACAAAGCCAACACATTTAGTTCATGGATCCAACCAAAAAGCTGAAAGTTGAGCAACACACTCAACTCAGGGTTCTGTTTTGATGTGGGCGGGACAGAGCTGCTCAGGTCTTACAGGAAAGGTCTAAGGTGGTTGGTAAATAATGACAATTCTGCTCAAATAACCGAGTATAAAAACATTACCTAGTCCAAGTTGTGAGTAAATACCAATGCATAAAACGTTTCTAAAAATGACCTTGATTTGTGTTTGTCAGTCCTCCCGTCCATCTCTCTGCTGCAGAAGTCCTCGTCGTCCCCCGTCACCTGCCAAGCCACTGGTTTCTTCCCCGGCCAAGCCTCTATCTTCTGGACTAAAGATGGAGACATTTACTACGAGGGCGTGGACTTTGGGGAGACCCTGCCCAACAACGACGAGACCTTCCAGACCAGTGCGGAGCTGGACGTGTCCTCTGTCCCATCGGAAGACTGGGGCCGCTACAACTGTGTGTTCAGGCTCTCTGGGTACAAAGACGAGATCATCACACCACTGGACAAAGCCGCGATCAGGACCAATGGTGAGACTCGGGTTCATGATGTGTGTGGTTTATGTTTGTTCTGTAGCAGTCAGTAGGGATGGGACAAGATCTGTACCAAAAGATCCAAGATTCCATTCAGATAAGATCAGATTCAGAAAAAACTGTCTGTTCAAATTGGTTAGAATGGGTTTAACGCTGGCGAGTTGAACCTTGTGAGAAGCTGTAGTCCCTAAAATCAAAGATATTACACATAATGTAATGTGGGGTCAATGTTTCTTTCAATAATAGATAAACGTTCACAGAATTCACTTGATTATTACGATTTACTGTATTTGTCCCATAATCTTGTGTCTCATCTAAAATGTCAATGTTTTGATTGCAGTTAATTCAATCTCTCCACGTGGGATAAATAAAGTAGATACATGAACAAAACAATTGATACAAAAGTGCAGTGGGAAAACCCGATTGGTAAATATCTCTGTCACTTCAGTCTCACAGTCATTTGAATTTGGCTCTAAATTTATCAGAAATGATCTCCAATGGTTTTCTGATGCACTTGTTGTACATCTTTAAAGCATTTAGTACCATTAAAATTGAGTAAACACATGCTAAATTCAGAAATAGAGGCAACTGAAGTCAAAAAGACAAAGCGACGTAAATGAAGGTGTTAGTATAAATCCAGGTGGTTTGGTGAATGTTACGAAGGAAGTGTATCCAAATCACTGTTTCCCAATAGTAT